GCAGGGCTGTTGTACGTATTCGCTAAGAACTATTTAACCAAATCATGAGTAAGCCAACCGAGACTCCACCCACTACAAGCGCTGTTTTTTCATCGATATGTTGTTGATTTTTAGCCTCAATATGCGGTGGCACTTGTGCGTTAATAGATGGTTGTGCATTAAAAGATGTTTTAGTAGATAACTGCGGCTTGACTATTCCCTTTTCGCCCGTGATCGTTTGCGTTATTAATTCGACATTAATATCTGAATTTATACCTGGTTTTTGTTGATCGGTAGCGATAACAATTTTATTATTATAGCCTATCACTTGACCGATCTTAAGTTCCATATTACTCGGAGACATGTATAGTCCCGGCGCATAAACGTAGTCCACTTTTGATTGAGCGTACTGTAACGCATCTTGAAAACGCTTTATAGACGATGGTATGTCAACTGGTGAATTAATGGCGTCCTCCACGTTTGCGACAAACTGTTTTTGCACATCGAACGCCGTCCCAGTACCGATGATTCCCGTTCGTGTTTGCGATTGTGCACCGAGAATTGCCCATACATAAGTTCTTATTGATTCATTAACTCTTTCAAATCCTGGGTTAGTAAAATTATTTTCCGTTTTATCATTAAGAAATTCATTCCAAGCATCTGTTGTATCGTTTGGATGCACAAACTTTGTTATAATATAAGGAATGCCACTCTCAAAGTTCATACGATCTGCTCTAAACTGTTTACTCGAGAGAGCAAAGCCTGAAGGGATCACACCCTCTTTAATTAAATAATCGCTTTTATCTTTAATAGTTCTTTGTCCATTGTACGGAATACCTAGACCATGGCTAGGTCCTTTAATGCGCCAATCTTTACTCGTAGAAACATTAAATTCATTACAAATACGTTCGAAGGCCCTCTTATTATAATGATTATTTGCGTGATTCCATGCTTGATCCAGCGGTAATGGAGCACTAATTTCTTTAAGTATACGTCTAATCTGATAGTACACGTGAAATAATATAACAGACTTATATAGTTTAAATCCTGGGGCATTAACAGATACACCACATCCCGTTGTGGCACACCATATGGCAAAGTTTAACTGATTCTGCAAAAATTGCATCGGACGGTTAAACCAATCGTCAACCATTTTATCGTTAGTTGCCGTGAAACTGTATTTTTCAAAGATATCGTGGAATTTAACGGAAAATTCAGCACCAGAGGCAGTTACTATAATCGATTGATTAGTAATGTAAGTTGATTTCATATTTAAGTTATGATATAGTATCATTGTATATTTAATATGTATGTTACACTCCCTGGAATAACAAATGGTCAGTCTATTGAACTGCTTCATACTATCGATAACTTGATTGGACAACTCGAAGTAGCTCTATGCGATGTAACGTATTACCCACGGTGGACCAATATAAATGCTACGGGGGGTTATAATAATGAGACAGAAATAAATGGTCAAAAATACATTATACCTGATGGGTATTACAGCGTATGCTCACTCAATGATGAATTTTTTAAGCCTAATGGAATTAGTCTAACACAAAATGAGTCAAATGGGTTACTGATTTTAAACGTTGGAAAAAAGGATGTAAAGCTTTACGCGAACTTAGCATACACACTTGGATGGAGAGGAGAAATAACAGTACTCAAGACATCAGATCAGGGACTCGATTTACCTGATTTAGTTCCCTAAAAAGAGTTGTGCATCCATCTTGATCAGATCAGTACGACGGATAATATTCAACAAGAAAGTCCTTCAACTCTACTCAGATCTATTCCAGTTAGAGATGAAAAATACAATAGCGGCAGAACGGAATCTTTCTCAACATTACAATATAAAAAATTAAAGCGGGGTATTATTTCAGACCTCAAAATTTCTGTATTAGATGTAAAACACCAACCTGTACATATAGGATACTTAAGTGTAACACTCCATATTATAAATAATGGTTGATTCCATATTTAAGTTATGATATAGTATCATTGTATATTTGATATGTATGTTACACTCCTGGGAATAACAAATAGTCAGTCTATTCAACTGCTTCGTACTATCGATAACTCGGATGGACAACTCGAAGTCGCTCTATGCGATGTAACGTATTATCCGAGGTGGACCAATATAAATGCTGCGAGAGGTAATAATAGGATAATGATATTATCCGTACTTGGTACTGTCAAATCCATTACTATACTTGATGGGTATTACAGCGTAAGCTCACTCAATGATGAAATTTTTAAGCCTAATAGAATTAGTCTCACACAAAATGAGGCGACTGGGACAGTGAAATTCAACCATGAAGAAACTATAATTGTATTGGGTCAACCAGGTAGAGAAGAATTTAGTCGCTTAATTGACACACATCCTTATGTTAAATTACCCGATTTAGTTCCCTATAAAGAGTTGTTCATCCATCTTGATCAAATAAGCACGACGGATAATATTCAACTAGAAAGTCCTTCAACTCTACTCAGATGTGTTCCAGTGAAAAATGAAAAATACAATAGCGGTAGAACGGAATCTTTCACGTCATTACAATATAAAAAATTAAAGTGTGGTATTATTCCAGACCTCAAGATTTCTGTATTAGATGTAAAACATCAACCTGTACATATAGGATACTTAAGTGTAACACTCCATATTAAAAATAATGGTTGATGCATCAGGCCCTGGAACACTAAGACAATGTAATACAATTGCGCTTTCCGATCTCGGAGACACAGAAGGATTTGATAAACCAGGTTACAATGGTAAGTTATACGCTTTACACTTACACGATAATGTATACAAGCGGAAAGAAGTCACATTCACGGGTAATCTAGGAGATTTAAGCGATGTCGATGTTAGTAGACTCCTTAAAAACACTTCGTACAATATTACTCGCAACGACGATAATAAATGGACTATGGTCGAAGCAAACATCGAGTGGCTACTGAATATCGTCATTACCCCACCTTATGTGATGATGGGTAAGGGACATAATTTAACTAAGATAATAAATAGTGGCATCGTACTCGCGGCTCATATCCCGTCAAAACGAAAAAGTGTGTTGGTCACTCCCCTGCCAGAAAACCCAGGTCATATGTTATATAGCCTTTAAAAATGTTACTTTAAATTTGATGACTGAATTCGAAGATATTAAAGTTAACTTGAGTGCAATACCTAATATTTCTACTCTTGATAAGATTGATGTATAGTCTCAAAACATTTAAGCAAGACCAATTAAAGACTATTATATGATCGTTATATACACTATGAGTTTATATCCGGCGCTCGGTGAAGCATTTGAAAAGATGGAAACTGTTGATGGATTTCGATTACATCAAATAAGCGACATAAAACGTCGAATAGAGAAGGATAGGGAGTTGAGACTTGGATTGTATAAAAAGTATCGCAGAGCCGTGAATGCTCTTGACGGAGTTGACACCGCTCTTGTAGTATCTGGCATGGGACTCGGTGTAGCGGGTATCGGTTTACTATCAACTATAATCGCCGCGCCTATCGTGCTAGGCATGGAAATAGCCGCTGGAGTCTCGGGACTGGCAGGAATAGCGATAAAATTCATTTCTCGTAGGTTACAAAAGAAAGCATTAAAACACAATAGTATTCGGATACTCGCCGAAGCAAAGTTGAACAGCATTGAGGATCATATTTCGACAGCAATGGCCGATTGTAAGATATCCGAGGATGAGTTTCGTTTAGTGCTGTCGGAACTCACCAAATACAACGAAATGAAGCAGGAGATTCGATCAAAATCTCGTAAGACCAGTGGTATTAGCGAAGACGAGAAAAAAAGTTCATAGAACAGGGGAGGCAACAAGCGCGTCAATTATTCCGTGCCAAAACCAAAGAACTGGTTGGAGATTAAAAATAGATTGTTTACTATCGTGTGATTACATTTAGACAAATGCTTACATAAATATATAATAATGGAGAAAGCTATTCAATGGAGAGAATTACCACAAGGTTTTTATCATATCAGTGATGTCAAACCAACCAAATACGGTTATCAATTGTTTCTTATCAATTTACAAGAAGAGTGTAGTTATATAGTCTGGTCTCCTAGTAAAATGAATGAAGAACTTAATAAAAATGTTGAATATCGCTTTATCGATAAAAATAATAAAGAATATTTATATTACCATTTAGGCTCATCTAAAGCAATGATTGGCCCCAGGTATTGGTGAGCTAGAGCCAATTTAACTTAATCTCATGACTATCGTTAAATCGCATAGTCATTTTTGCATAATAAATCCCCCCCTGTAGTAGCAGTATAGGTAATAAATCTGGCTCCAGTGGAAGTGGTCCAGAACCCCTATTACCTATAAAAATTTATATCATTGGCTCCAGGTGGTGGTGAGCTAGAGCCAATTTAGCTGAATCTCATGACTATCGTTAAATCGCATGATCATTTACGCATAAAAAATTCCATCTGTAGTAGCAGTATAGGTATATAAATCTGGCTCCAGTGGAAGTGGTCCAGAACCCCTATTACCTATACTACTCAATTTATCTATCTAAAATCCAGTCACATTTTTCAGGCAGTATATACATTGCCTGAGTCTATCAGCCAATATACCTATTGCGTGAAATGTTTATTCAATGTACATATTGCCTGATTACAGACATTGACTGTAACATATATACCAGGGAGCATATGACATCAGAGACCATATAATAAATTATTATATGGTCTCTGATGACATATATACCTTATATTTCCCATGTATATGGCTCGAGATATGACGATACTGGCATAGGGCTGTGCTGACACTAAATCTAGTGTGTTTGTTGTTGGCTAGCTACATCCACACGCTACTTAAATTCAAACATTCAGTATCTTCTCTGATAAAGTAAGTTTTTGAGATTTATTCAAAAATTGGCCACTCATATGACCACTATGATTGCTATCTCAATATATAGAACTTGCCTAACAATAGTAAAGATGGAATACACTGTTATTCTGTGCATAAAATCAAACCTATATACATATACATACTTCTGCTAGCTTCAGGGAAGATCTGACTGTACAGATGAAGTGTTCGAAGAAATGTTGAACAACTAAACGCTTCCCACCACCTAGATGTTACTATAAATAGAACACAGGAAAATCCCACAACCGGACATCCTGTTGCCTGAGAAGAAGAACGCTTGATCATCATTCGTGACCAACTCGTGTTATTACGGGACAAGTCTTCTTGCAGTTTACGGAAAGGGGCGAGTGGTGACGAATGGCTTGATCGTGTGTCTGTTTGACTCGATTAATCACAGGCCACCGTCACGTTTGGTGCACCTGGATTTGAAATTGCTGTCGATACGAAATTATAATTTCAAAATTATTACAAATGATACTGCGCTCATCAAGGGTTTGGGTTTGGATTTGGGAACATCATATCGTATTTGATAACAAATAATACATTTACAGATACATGTGGTAGAGGTGATTATTGGTGTTTTGGTGTGAAAAGGCTCAAAGAGGTTTCTGTTGTGAAAAGAAAACCTGATTTTAACCAATCAGAATCAAGCATTCTTCAATGTCCGGGTCCTGCTTGTTTTCACCATAGCAATTCGCATATTACTATGTATGCCATGTATCTGACCATGGCCTAACTCTCCACTGAGAGATAATAAAGCTGACCTATGTACGTAACCCAGAGCTTCAACAACACGACCGGCAACAACATCCCCCAGTTATATATGTTCTTTCCGCCCACATCAAGCTGACATGCCGTGATACGCCTGACATGCCGTGATACACCTGACATGCCGTGATACACCTGACATGCCGTGATACACCTGACATGTCGTGATACATCTGACATGCCGTGATACGCCTGACATGCCGTGATACACCTGACATGTCGTGATACATCTGACATGCCGTGATACGCCTGACATGCCTTGATACACCTGACATGCCGTGATACAACTGACATGTCGTGATACATCTGACATGCCGTGATACGCCTGACATGCCGTGATACACCTGACATACCGTGATACACCTGACATGCCGTGATACATGCCGTGATACACCTGACATGCCGTGATACACCTGACATGCCGTGATACACCTGACATACCGTGATACACCTGACATGCCGTGATACACCTGACATGCCGTGATACACCTGACATACCGTGATACATCTGACATGCCGTGATACACTTGACATGCCGTGATACACCTGACATGCCGTGATACACCTGACATACCGTGATACACCTGACATGTCGTGATACACCTGACATGCCGTGATACGCCTGACATGCCGTGATACACCTGACATACCGTGATACACCTGACATGCCGTGATACACTTGACATGCCGTGATACGCCTGACATGCCGTGATACACCTGACATACCGTGATACACCTGACATGTCGTGATACACCTGACATGCCGTGATACGCCTGACATGCCGTGATACACCTGACATACCGTGATACACCTGACATGCCGTGATACACTTGACATGCCGTGATACACCTGACATGCCGTGATACATGCGGTGATACACCTGACATGCCGTGATACCCCTGACATACCGTGATACACCTGACATACCGTGATACACCTGACATGCCGTGATACACTTGACATGCTGTGATACACCTGACATGCCGTGATACACCTGACATGCCGTGATACACCTGACATGCCGTGATACATGCCGTAATACACCTGACATGCCGTGATACACCTGACATGCCGTGATACATCTGACATGCCGTGATACACCTGACATGCCGTGATACACCTGACATGCCGTGATACACCTGACATGTCGTGATACATCTGACATGCCGTGATACGCCTGACATGCCGTGATACACCTGACATGCCGTGATACACCTGACATGCCGTGATACGCCTGACATGCCGTGATACACCTGACATGCCGTGATACACCTGACATGCCGTGATACATCTGACATGCCGTGATACATCTGACATGCCGTGATACACCTGACATGCCGTGATACGCCTGACATGCCGTGATACATCTGACATACCGTGATACACCTGACATGCCGTGATACATGCCGTGATACACCTGACATGCCGTGATACGCCTGACATGCCGTGATACACCTGACATGCCGTGATACACCTGACATGCCGTGATACGCCTGACATGCCGTGATACACCTGACATGCCGTGATACACCTGACATGCCGTGATACGCCTGACATGCCGTGATACATCTGACATACCGTGATACACCTGACATGCCGTGATACATGCCGTGATACACCTGACATGCCGTGATACGCCTGACATGCCGTGATACATGCCGTGATACATGCCGTGATACGCCTGACATGCCGTGATACACCTGACATGCCGTGATATACCTGACATGCCGTGATACGCCTGACATGCCGTGATACATCTGACATACTGTTCAGAGCAGCGTTCAAACAAACTCCCTCGGCCATGGTCCATTATAAAAGTGGCATTCCCCAGAAAAATGTCTTCTGGAAGAGAGCACCATAGCTAAAAGAACCAAGAGGCGGTGGTCTAAGTGTAACCTTGTGTGAATAAATCACGCAAACGCAGGCTGATATTCAGATGCCAGTTGTTGAATACATGAGATTAAATGAACGGAGGCCGTGTGGAAATATAAACACAGAGTTTAAATATGCAAAATACCTACACATACAAATGAAACATTACATTATAACTTATTAACAAATATTAGAATCGGATATGATAACATAAATTGCTATGATCAATCTTAACTAGGCTTATCTTGGTTTGCTCTAAATATCAAAGAACATTTGTCATATCATAAACTGACAAGCATAGGTGATCAATAGTGGGAGAGTGGTGATAATTACATTAATACATAACACACCATTTCAGGGCAAACCAACATCAATACATATATAAAACATAATGATCCTCACCAAGTGTATGGCAGTGTGCCCTATGATATCCCAACCATATATAGATTGGTTGACTTGCCGGGATACACCAGAAAACATAATATATATTTTACATAATTACAATGTAACATATTACATCACTATGTTTACATTCTTTGGTATATACAATAACTCTAAAATATGTATTCCAATCACTCACCTAATTCCATACATACATAAATACATACATACATACATACATACATACATACATACATACATACATACATGTGAAGTAAGGTGCAGAACTTGAAGTTAAAGGTAAATAGCTCCAATCTACTCCTAACTTAGTAACACAATAAGTTAAGTAACATCCAAATCAACATGCTGTCTAAGATTAGCTATGATAAACTTACTTACATGCGTAAAGTATTTCAGCAAACCTAGACTTACTACATTTACTTGATGACGATAACTGATATGGCGTATATTTATCACACCTAACAATATAAATTATTATTATTAAACATATTTTATTGTCCAAAAAGACAAAGGAATTTGGCACGAGTGCAGCACTTATTACCGCCTTCTCCCTATATAGTTATACATAATATTGCATAATGAAAATGAACAATTTACAGTTGAAGTTTCACATAGTGGAAACATAGTGCGCAATATATATACAGTGCTCATATGAAGGATATGTACAATGTGCTGGAAAGTCAAGACAGTGTGCATCTCATACATATCCTAATATTATACAGTTTAGTGTTGTATATAGATTTAACAATATTAATGATTAACAGTTTGGAAACAATAATATGCTAGCTACTGAATCTGTTAGTCGTTTCTATAAATTTGTGTACAGACAAGAATATTTTTGTATTCAGGAAAACATCTAAGTTTGGATCACCAAAATAAAGAATACTGTGCAGATTTTTTTGTCCTCCAAGATTATCGATAGCTGTCAGTAATGTCTCCCTAAAATCATCATATAAGGTACATTCGAAGAAGAAATGGAATGAATTTTCACAAGGAGCTCCGCATTTACAGGAAATAGTATCAGATAAATTAACAGGAAACAGGTCGGAATTTAGTGTGCTACAATTGTGTCTCAGTCTAGTGTGCAATATGTTTGTAGATCTCTTACCGCAATTATAGTGCATAGGTGGTGAGGTAGGCTGCTCAGATGCGACAGCTTTAAAATAAGATATTGACGGACTATCCCTGATTCCTGATGATAGATTATTCCATTGGCCTAATGTATATATAATATAAGACCTTTTAAACGTAGTTGTCCGCGCAAATGGAACTACAAAATCATGTCGGTTTCTGAGATTATAATTAACGTTCTGTGACACAGCTGGTGGTATAAGATCAGTTACATGTGGAGGACATTGCTTATTTATTATTTTATACATAGTTACAAGTTTGTTGACGTTTCTTCTATACGCTAAAGGCTGCCATCCAGTTTCGTGATACAGGCTGCGACGGAAGCAAAATTTAGTTAATCCTGTTACTATTCTAGCTGCCTCGAGTTGTATAGTTCTAATTTATTAGCATTATACGACGAGCAACTGTCCCAGACAACTGAGGCATATTCTAAAGTCGGTCTGATAAAAACTAGATATATTCTAGCCAAGTTTGATCTACTTAACCGATATTTAAGTTTTCTCATGGATGAAACCATTGATGCACATGAAAGAATATTATTGAAATGATCGTTCCATTTTGTGTCTTGTGATGATGGAACACCAAGGTAACACCAAGGTGCTTGTGACAGTCTACCCTTTCTATACATGTGTTATTAAAGACTATTGGTGGTATTTCATCTGAGATTTTATGCGCGAATAATATATGCTTGGTTTTGTTGGGATTGAATTGTACTAACCACTTTTGTGCCCAGTTATGTAGTTTGCATAGATCTTTATTTGTGGAGTTTTCAAGATGCTTAATCTGGAGAGGAGATACCAATGCTAGTATCATCTGCGAACAAACGTGTCAAATTTCTCATTTCATAACATATATCATTAATATAAATCAAACATAATAGTTGACCAAGAACTGACCCCTGAGGGACGCCAGCGTGTAGGATTTGTTCACTGGAGAGACAACGGTTAACATTTACTTTTGGGCGTCTGTTTGTGAGATATCTCTGAAACCATTTAAGCTGGTTATCACTAATACCATATTGTCTTAACTTGTGTAATAAACCCTTATGCCACACTCGGTCGAATGCTTTAGAAATGTCACAGAAAACCATGCAAAAATATTCTTGCTGATCTAAAGACTTACATATTTGATGATATATTTCTAGTAGTTAAAAAGTAGTTGAGTGTCCTGGTACAAATCCAGATTGGTATTTACACAGCAAGTTATGATCTATAAGATGATTATACAATATAAATACTATTAAAAGAAGTTAAAAAAACATACATGTGCACCGTAGAAAACACTTAATATATCAAAACACTAAATAAAAACACATAAAAATACAATTCACACATAAACTAACCTGTGATAAATGGCGAAATTGTTTCAGCGATGAAAGGAGACCTTACTTCAATACAGACTCATACAAATGCAAGTGTTAACGCAAGCTGACCAGTCCCATAAGGCACCTGTCACTGAAAGTAAGGGGCTGGGGCTAGACAACATATACCAGAGAAACAATAGAGAAGGCAAGCGCAATGTTGTTATTGTAATAGTGAAGCAGGTTAGATTGGGTGGTTGAGCAAGGACTAAGACTTAGGAATTAAAATAAAAGCTGTCATTGAAATTCACTTGCTAATATATACATAATTACACACTAGTACATAAGTACACATAAAACGTCAAGGCCAGAGAATAATCAGTCTCCATTATCTGCCGAAATAGATACCAATGGGCGTAAATGGCAAATTAGTGGTGAACATTATATGAATGAATAAGTGAAACTATTTGATTACAGCAGGTGTTCGCGAGAAGGGTAAGCATGTTCTGCTCCACCGGAACAAAAGACAGGCAGGTGTTAGCGAGAAGGGTAAGCATGTCCTGCTCCACCGGAACAAAAGACAGACAGGTGTTCGCGAGAAGGGTAAGCATGTCCTGCTCCACCGGAACAAAAGACAGGCAGGTGTTCGCGAGAAGGGTAAGCATGTCCTGCTCCACCGGAACAAAAGACAGGCAGGTGTTCGCGAGAAGGGTAAGCATGTCCTGCTCCACCGGAACAAAAGACAGACAGGTGTTCGCGAGAAGGGTAAGCATGTCCTGCTCCACCGGTACAAAAGACAGACAGGTGTTCGCGAGAAGGGTAAGCATGTCCTGCTCCACCGGAACAAAAGAAAGGCAGGTGTTCGCGAGAAGGGTAAGCATGTCCTGCTCCACCGGAACAAAAGACAGGCAGGTGTTCGCGAGAAGGGTAAGCATGTCCTGCTCCACCGGAACAAAAGACAGACAGGTGTTCGCGAGAAGGGTAAGCATGTCCTGCTGCACCGGAACAAAAGACAGACAGGTGTTCGCGAGAAGGGTAAGCATGTCCTGCTCCACCGGAACAAAAGACAGGCAGGTGTTCGCGAGAAGGGTAAGCATGTCCTGCTCCACCGGAACAAAAGACAGGCAGGTGTTCGCGAGAAGGGTAAGCATGTCCTGCTCCACCGGAACAAAAGACAGGCAGGCGTGCGCTAACATCAAGGACTATTCCGATACCTGCCTTAGAAATCAACAGGGATGTTTTCACATATGACTTATCACCAGATAGGCTCAGAGATGTCCGATTGCTTAACCTTAGTTGGGGCCCACTCTATTGCTTGTCCTGAGAGATGAGACCGTGGCCTCTGGTCAAGTGGATGGACCATCGGCCTGGGGAGCGGAAAGTCGGCTGTTCAATCCCCTGGCCGCGTCATACCAAAAGACGTTAAGATATGGTTCTTACGGTTTGATTGGCACTCTTGGTAAGTAAACATGAAAACATACAGCTTTCCGGATATTAACAAAACTTCTGCTTTATTGCATTTAGCGACGTTCCGATGTAGATTCTAACACCGTTATCAAGCTGGAGTGACTTCAACCAAGTGATGAGAGGTATTATATATACATGATGTGCTGTGATCAGCAGCATATTAATATTAACAACAGGTAAAGGATAACGAGAAGCACACAGGAATATGAATGAAGCTAGATGTACAATAAGAATTAAAAAGTATTAAATTATCTCGTTTTGTCACTCCAGGTTGAGGGGGCACGGGTGGCCCAGCCGTCTAAGGGGGCACGGGTGGCCCACCCGTCTAAGGCGCCGCGATTTGCAGTGCAGAGTTGCGTCCCTTGGGCACACCAGAAACCTATGATTGTGGGTTTGAATCCCAGTTCGCCCCGAATATGTTTCTAGGTTTGTCAGCACCATACCCGTGCTCGTGGGTTTCACCGAAGTGGTGAACATCTGAGACCTGCATCACTTCGGGCTTTCCTCCCACATTAAGCTGACACGCCGTGATATAACTGGAAAACTGTCAAAAGCGGCGTTAAACCCATCTCACTCACTCCAGGTGGATGAAGGTGCAATCGACATCGAAACATCGCTAAATGCAATAAACCAGAAGTTGTTATCCATAACGATGTATGTTTTCTTAAGATGGTACTTGTTCTTGCCCTGCCTGGAGCTCGGTTTTAAGGGACTAAAACATGGACTGGTCGGTTCGGAGTCAGTACGTGTCTGAGTGGGGTATCCATGTTAAACTGCTGTATAGTATCCCAGACTATAAAACCAACACTTGTAGTCCGGACTTGTACCAGCAGTCACGCACACGTACATGCAAGTCGCCATATAAGTGCAATAATCTTGGACGCGACGTTTACGCAATTTCACCTCACCTAAGAGGTGACTAAATTGGACAGGTGGTCAGGTTTCATGACTTGGTTGATCGTATGCCATCATACCCTAACAGGGTGGGCGTTGCTCATGGCATCACAGACTGGTTTGTCTGGTCCTGACTCGAATATTTACAGTCCGTCGTCGTCCACCGGTATATATGTATACAATTTAATAAAATTAATATCAAGAAGATGAAACAGGCAAATCTATATTCCACAATTCAGCATTGAAACTATTTTTTTCTTTAAAACCCAGAATATTCTGTAATATTGTTCATGGACTATATTGAAGCCTAAGGCCGTGGTGATGGAGCAGGAGTATTGGGAATTGCTATGTTAAACAACATAAGGGTGTGACAACAGCCAACCCTAAACTGCTGGTCGTGCTATGTACATAGTGTGAATATTCCATTTATGCATTTATGTATCATCGTTTACTCAAGGCGTCCGATAGCGACATACGAATTTGGAATTCATCATTAATATTAAGTAAATGTCAATAAATTACAAATATGCTGTTTGTTGTGAGTTATTTATTAGACAGTTTGTGACGTGCACACAATTCTTAATCATTTGTGACCCGACGCTTTCATACACAGGTGACTATTGCTTATGTAGTGAATACTCTGTGTTACATGTGCAATTTTGGGGGCACGGGTGACCCGGGTGACCCAGTCGTCCAAGGCGCCGCAATTGGCTCTGCAGAGTTGCATCCCTTGTACGCCAGAAACCTATGGTTGTGGGTTCGAATCCCGGTTCGCCCCGATTATGTTTCTTGGTTTTTCAGAATACCCGTGCTCGTGGTTTTCACCAAAGTGGGAAACGTCTGAGACTTGCATCACTTCGGGTTCATCCAACATTAAGCTGACATGTACGCTGTGATATAACTGAAATACTGGTAAAAGCGGCGTTGCACACATTCGCACGCACGCACGCACGCACACATCACACGTATGTGTGAAGCCCATTTCTGTTGCTCCCGCCGTGATATTGCTGGAATATTGCTAAAAGCGGCGTAAAACCATACACACACGTGCATAAACAAGTACCAAATATATGAAAGCTTCTATCTGTAAAAAAAACATCAATTCAAAGCGTTCCTTCGTCCACGTTCCCGAAAATAAACTATAGCAGGCACTCGCTACATAGTTTCACGCTCAGTGTTTATCAAGCACGGGGGCTGCATCGACTACGAGTATGATACCTGAATCTGCACGGGAACACGACTGACTGGCAGTATGTGTTGTATTGCTGATATGTTGCGGGCGATGTATTTGGCATCTATGAACCTGATCGGTGTACTTGTGAGTAAAGTTTGAGACACGTATGTTGCCCTGGTGTCATGGGTCAATCTCAACAAGAGTTTGTCACTAACGTGGCTATATCCCCCGCCCCAGTTGCAGAATTTATGACATAATTAAATCTAAACAAACCCTAACCTATTTTAACAGAGGGGGAACTTGTCATGGTTCATTTGTCATTGTCAAATTCTAAATTTTCTAAATAGCAAAAGGCACCAGTTCAGCATGTACCTGACAAACCTGCAAAGTTTGATGAAAAAATATTGAACGGTTTCTGAGTTATGCTCCGGAAACGAACCCTACCCTCACAGAACCTAAGTCCATCTTGTTGCTATGGTAACGTAAAAAATAAAAATTTCTAAAATTTCTAAATAGCAAAAGACACCAGTTCAGCATGTACTTGACAGACCTGCAAAGTTTGATGAAAAAATATTGAACGGTTTCTGAGTTATGCTCCGGAAACGAAACGTAACGCCAACTTTGTTGGGCAGGGGGATAATAATAGTGTATGATGTTAACTAGGGATACGATTTAGAAAACGACAACCCTTCTTAAAAGGGGCCTATACTAACTGCATGGCTTTAGGTAAATCCTAAACGTCACCTGCACATTAATTGCCAATATGAAAATAAATTATTACGTCAAAATTTTGATCTAATGTGAGTGAGTGAGTACGGTTTTACGCCGCTTTTAGCAGCAATAACACGGCGGGGGACACCAGAAATTGGCTTCACACATTGTACCCATGTCGGGAATCGAACCCGGGTCTTCGGCGTGACGAGCGAACGCTTTAACCGCAAGGCTACCCGACCGCCCCTTGATCTAATGTGATATGAGTTTATCGGTAACTTTGATATTCACTGCGCAACACTGATATTCTGAAAGAATGGGCGTATTTGCACCAAGACATCAAACGCGTAGGTCAACTTAGGATATTTCCGGTAGTTCTGTTTGTTAGTCACAAAATGTCATCGCATTACCCAATAGACATACATAAATTACGAACAAAGCATCAAGACAGGAGTAAACACGAAACGTGTCATAAACGCCAGGTGTCAAGCTGCACCGGTTCCTCGTAGCAGTTAATGGTCAAGGGAGATAATCGTGTTATGATATGCTAAAAATGAATAAGAGTAAAGTCCCTTGTATGAGCTCCATACAAGCTCCTTCCCAGCGCGTGACACCTTCGTTACACTCTCGGTAACATCGCTGCCACCAGTGTGGGCGCGGCCATTACAAGAATCTTGAAATTTGCTCTCCAACCCCATATGTAGTAACGTTTATACTTCTTTTTATGTCTTTGGGAATGCCATCATATTTCAATTTGAAAAGGTTTACGACTGACCATGTTTTCCAGATGAATTTACTTTGTTGTTTTGATAATCAGATTGGTTCGAGATTGCAGACTAACGGAAAAACAACCAACTTCTCCCTTACATTCTTACCATATCATAACTTAGTTCGGACATGCGCATAATACAGTTACCTCTCTTTGTTAAGTACAACGCGATGTCTGAAGTTTGCATGTAGACCCTGAAGGGAGCTTGTACAAGGGACCTAACACCGCTTGAAACTACCACGTAAACTGGTTCCAGTGTTGGCACCCGCCGAAAATTTAGCGCTTTCAGCCAGACAGGAGCAGTCTAATTTCCAAGCAGAATTACTTCCCTTTGACCACAAACGTTACCGAATGGAATAAAATCGACTGAATTGCCTCCCTTTGACCATGACAAAACAAGCACCTTCCCCGCGGGACACTTTCATTACGCTTTCGGTAACATTGCTGCCATCAGTGAGGAAGCGGTCATTACAAGATATTTGCCTGTAACCCCAAATTGTGGTGACATTATATTTTTGTGTGTGTCTGGGAATGCCTTCATAGTGCATTTTGACAAGGTCTGACCAACTAGAATTTACTTTAGTTTAATCAGATTGGTTCGACATTGCAGACTAAAGGAAAAGCTCCCAACTTCCCTCTTACATTCTTACTATACCATAACATGATACTTGAAATGATGGTGAGGGCGTCCTTAGTGCTACATGTGCTTCTGTGAGGGCAGGGCAGAATCCCCATAAACACTCAGGGGCTACCGAACACGGAATGTATGAGGAGTGAGGGTCCACGCCTTCCCTGGCGGTGTATGTCACCGCCTCAAGCTGGAGCAATCTAGTCACCTGTTTCAACCGGAATAGTTGGAAGTGATTGTTCACTGCAAAGCGAACACCATTCGTTTTTGTTCAGGTATGGCCCTGAATATACATGTGTGTACCCAGTTGTGAAATACACTTCTAAAATCGCATTAATTAAACAATATGAACGAAAAAGTTGTATTTCATGGACTTGGCCATACAAGTATAAATTGAGCAAAGGTCTTCAGTGAGGCAGCCAAGGGCGGAGGATGTACGTTTCTAGTGGTCATAGTGAAACACATTTGTTCAGTGTTTTGAGCACATGAACTCTATATACGTTAAACACTACTTTAATCGAACTTTCGTAATTTTCTCTTTATCTCGATATTACTTATAATTGTACCGTAAAAATATTATTTCCTTCTTTCACCTGTGCAAATTACAGTTTCCTTGCCTACGCTTCTTGAGCTTTCAAATTCCAAGTATTAAAATTGTCCAATTACATCTTGTTTCAAGCTTTTTATAAGATTAAAACCATTAACACATCATAACACCCGATAGCGTGTAAATAAGCGGTCTGCGTTTGAATAGACTTGCTGCCCATGAAAACGTTTCAACGGTTTGATTTAATGTACATGCTCTTGGGTGGATAATCACGGAATATTCTCTCATGTGTACTTTGACCATCTTCCCGAGGCAAGGGAGTTAACTGACTTTAAAAGTCCAGTTTCCACCCTTGCAGAACAAGCCTGGAATTACTGGGCTCGATCGTTGCGCCACCAGTGGCTATTCTGAGTTATGTCCCTTCTCAGCCTCACCTAGGGACCAAGCAGATTCCTCCTCCCGTATCACTCGCGTTTGCTTCACACAAAAAGGTGGCGCCCAGTCAGGACGATCTGATCGATAATCAAGATCTATATTGTGATAAAACGGGTCTTACATCGCGAAGTGCATCAAATCACGTCAGCACCTTGATTAAAAACATGAAAGGATTTGGAAAAAATCTGCTGACAACGAATTGGCGATGCACATGCTTTGCAAATCCTGCAATCGATCGAAATCTGCACGACAGTTTACGAACCGGATTTCGATTTCGGTGCGCGATTTTGATTGGACTATGCATAGACTCGTTAGTCCAGACAAAACGTAACCCCATAATACCTGCCTAGTTCGGCAAGGGTGGAAACTGGACTTTTATAGTCAGTTAACTCCTTTGCCTCGGGAGATGTACTTTGACATAAATGTCATATGTCTATCACCATTAGGATATTACTAGAAGACCAACCTGTAGGTCCCGTGACCAAATCATGGAAACAAAGGTTTGAAAGTGTTTTTGAGTTTCCTAAAGTATACTGAACAATTTTGACTTGGGCTGCCCGGTTGAAAATCCCGGGCATATTAGGGAAGGGTTAACAAAGGTCACATAGGGGTCAAAGTTCAAACTTGTGTCGATATGCATATCAAATTACTCGTCCAGTCATAAGAAACCTAGAAATATATAGTTTGTTATACTTCCGACCTTAAATGGGGTAGCTATGGCCAAAAACGTTGAAAGGTCAACGCACTTTTGGCAGTCGGTGAAATTCACAAACACAGTTAACATTGTCCGATAGTCATGATTTTACTGTCTAATAATATGTTTTCTGACATGACAAATTCAACCAAGCAACTTTTAAAAGTAAAAAGGGTTACTTTGGCCTTGAAAATCGAAAATGGTTGGCTGCATGAAGAATTGTAATGCTTCAGCAAAGTCACAGGATCCTTGGCCAATAACGCAGCATATTTCAGAATCCATTGTCCAGTAATGCCTTTCTAACCTTACTTTAGTGCACAGTTCATCATCCTACTCTGTGTCATACCGATCAGATGCAGAGTTGGAATCACTGTCACAATCACTTGAATCTAGAATCTGTGTCCGATTCTACAGAGCAGTTTGCTCTGGCATCACTCAGATGTTGAGGCAGTGCTGGCTGTGAATACCGTATTGGCAAGTAAGCATTTCTGGACAATGGATTCTGAAATATGCTGCGTTATTGGCCAAGGATCCTGTTTCCAATGACTTTGCTGAAGCATGGCAACCATTTTCGATTTTCAAGGTCAAGGTAACCCTTTTTACTTTTAAAAGTTGCTTGGTTGAATTTGTCATGTCAGAAAACATATTATTAGACAGTAAAATCATGACTATCGGACAATGTTAACTGTGTTTGTGAATTTCACCGACTGCCAAAAGTGCGTTGACCTTTCAACGTTTTTGGCCATAGCTACCCCATTTAAGGTCGGAAGTATAACAAACTATATATTTCTAGGTTTCTTATGACTGGACGAGTAATTTGATATGCATATCGACACAATTTTGAATTTTGACCCCTGTTTGACCTTTGTTCACCCTTCCCCAAAATGCCCGGGATTTTCAACCGGGCAGCCCAAGTCAAAATTGTTCAGTATACATCAGGAAACTCAAAAACACTTTCAAACCTTTGTTTCCGTGATTTGGTCACGGGACCTACAGGTTGGTCCTTGACTATATGTACTTTCCAATGATATGAATTATTGGACATATAGATTTCAAACAAGGGCACTTGCTTTACTTTACTTGCCACATTTGGGTGCTTCTGTATATTACGATTAATGTAGAAAAGTAGGTAACTTACAATACCAGCATTTTTATCGATGGCTAGGCACTTCATAGATATTTTGGATGTGTTGACTTTAGATACTGTTGGAAAGACAATCATCTCAAGTTTCATTTTATGTATTTTGGTTACAGTGTGTGAAGAAATGAGACGTAACAATTTTGATACAATGTATACGTTTTTGAAACCGCGACTCATCACAGTGTGCACTAAGTGGTATGCAAAACCAGCTGACGACCAGACACCATGAGGGTTAAGTTAAGTCTCTTGATGATGCTGGCAGTCACATGGGCTACACATACCAAACATATTCTATTTCAGTTTGGGTTACGTTTTGTATGGATAAGCCAGGACGTTGGAAATATTAACATTTTTATCAGATTTATAAAAAAATAAGACTTCTTTATAATCTTAAACAAAATTGGTATTCTACACTACACACTCTTAAAAAATGTGCCAACTATCTGTTACATGTTTTACATGTGGGAAAATTATATGTGCCTTTACATTTGACGACCGCCTCCATGGTCTAGTGGTTGAGAGTCCGCCCGGAGAGCGGAAGGCCCGGGGTGCGATCCCCGGCCGCGTCATACCAAAAGACGTTAAAAGATGGTACTTGTTGTTATCCTGTCCGGCTCTCGGCATTAAGGGGCTAAAACAAGGACTGGTCGGCTCGGAGTCAGTATACTGTGTCTGAGTGGGATATTCATGTTAAACTGCGGCATGGTATCTCAGTGAGCTAGCACTATAAATCGGCATCAGTCCACAAGCAGCCACACTAACTCACACAAGTACATGCACGTCGCTATGTAAGTGCAATAATCTTGGACGCGACGTTAAACCCCACCTCACCTTTACATTTGAGGATGTGTTTCACAAGATTAAGATGTGGTAAGTTTAGACCTATCACAGAAACAGGAAGATACACAAACATACCATACCATTTAAGACCTCATTGTAGGTTAAATGACAAAATGTACATATAAGACGAAATTCAGGTTTTACTCCAAATGCAGTAACACTTCACTCAGCTGAGGGTATCGTCTAATCAGCACGTGAAAACATCTTTATTATCTTTTCTATTTTGCTCTCAAAACATTCTGTGAATGAGTTCGAGTGATCCTTCTTGCAGTCATGCCCGGATAAATTGTCCTCGAATATTCTTGAAAAAGTTAATTATGCTTCAGATTGTTAAAAGCACAGAAAGAAATTGTGACCACCGTTATACATTGTTGCAAAGTGATTTTCTTTAAAATCACTGGCTCAGAGTTTGAAATAAGAACAATATCTGGTTTTGTAGCTGTAGCCAAAATATCTAATATCCATACGAAATACAGTTTGCAACTATCTTGTATATTAAAAGAATGGTACATCTGCTACATTCACATCATATTCCATCATATTCATTGCAATACTATTTGTTTTAAAATTAGAGATTAAATACATATTAAAACAAAGGTAAGGAACATCATTTGCATACTTTTAATACTGATTTAACCAAAAATTAAAGAAAACGTCAGTTTATACAGGTGAAAAATATATGATGCAAAACAAAATTCATCTCTGTTATATATTCTTATCTTTGATCATATACATATTGTAATCCTTCAATTATGGGGGAAATGATTACAAACTATTTAATACCTTCTACTAAGCGGACTAATTTGAACAATTATATCATGTCAAAATATACTGTCAAGGAAAGCCTTCAAAGTTCCTGAGAAGTTAATGTATTAAAGAATCTTTACCACAGATGGACATATCAACTGAGAAAACATGTATTTTTCTCTCAAAAAGACAATATTTTTTTATCATGCTACTCACATGTTGCTGAGAATCACCACTTTTAAATGTAATAGGTGATATTGTGTGCATCTGGTGAGAGCCAAAGACAACACTGCACGAAGACATGTTAATGATCAAAAGTCCGTTGTCATTTGCTACACAATGCCAACAAACAACATGTGACCAACGGCAAAAACTCACGAAAACAAATTCATTGTCCAAACAACTCTCAGAAACACATGTGTGATCCACGTGAAGTGATCACAGCCTGGCACCGTCGTCTCCTGCTCCCAAAAGTGTCTTGATGATTGCCAAGGGAAGATTATTCCAGTTTCCAGTAAGAACATTGGAGAGTTCCTGTAGAGTTGCAGTAAGGAAAGGGCGTTGTGAGGAGAGGGCTATCTGCAGCTCGTTCCATATGTGTTCAATAGGGTTGAGGTGAGTATTTAACAGATTTCTTTCTAAATGTAATATTAAACTGTATTATATCATGTTAACATCATGGTAAAGTATTTGAGTGTTGGCAAGTAACTAGTGTTTGTGTCATATACAAGAGCTACAATGTGACATTTCTATACTGTTTTGTCCAAACATATTCTGTTCATATATAATGCACACTGACACATGAACAAACTGTGTATCTACTATCTACATTGAACAAATTTGTTATGTGATTTTCAGGAACATTCGGCTGCGAAATAATTGACAATTCATGGGAATTGGTCCGAGGATGGCCGAGTATGCACGAGTATGCACGGCTTCTGCTCAGAGTGGGCATAGTGGTGAACATTAGTGAACATATAGTCAGCTCACCCATGCATGCATGCATTATCCACCAGAGTTATCCAGAGATCAAGATAAATTTTTGAGCAATTGAGTTTTTACTCTAGGCTCCCTGGTGCCTGTAATATTTATCATCTGTACAAATAATGAACTATATTTACAACTTAAAAGTTTGAAAAGGAGAACTGTTAAAATAGATTAATATGAACTGCCAAAAGCTGTCAATCATGACATTACAGTTTAAATGCTAAGTGAATGTGCCTTCCTGTCTGCATGTTTTCATCACTTTTATATTATACTAAAACCCATGCTGTGACCATGTAGCTGTTGCTCCGCACTTACCAGTGCCTTGTCACAGATTGCCCATACGTGCTACAGATGTCTACTTCATCAACACAGGGGACTCAACTGTTTCATCTCAAACAACACATAGTATGCATACGTACAAAGCCATGTGATGACATAAAAATAAATAACATTTGCTCATGCTATTAACCATGATAAACATTTATTTACAAATATATAAATATTGTTCACTGTGTCTTGATACGCTCATCAGAAATGACCTGCCCCAGAAAATAGTACCACGTTTTCAGGGATTTCTACTGAAAGATTCTACTTATCAGTCGTAAATTAAAGATGCATAAAGAATTCTTGTCACCTTGTAGGTTGGTTATTTGGGAATACATATATGCACAGAACATTAATAAGGTTCCTCCCTTGTGCCTGTCAGCTGTACATCGTCACCCTGGCTCCCTGGTGCCTGTCAGCTGTACATCGTCACCCTGGCTCCCTGGTGCCTGTCAGATGTACATCGTCACCCTGGCTCCCTGGTGCCTGTCAGCTGTACATCGTCACCCTGGCTCCCTGGTGCCTGTCAGCTGTACATCGTCACCTTGGCTCCCTGGTGCCTGTCAGCTGTACATCGTCACCCTGGCTCCCTGGTGCCTGTCAGCTGTACATCGTCACCTTGGCTCCCTGGTGCCTGTCAGCTGTACATCGTCACCCTGGCTCCCTGGTGCCTGTCAGCTGTACATCGTCACCCTGGGTCCCTGGTGCCTGTTAGCTGTACATTGTCACCTTGGCTCCCTGGCTCCTGTCACCTGTACATCGTCACCTTGGCTCCCTGGCTCCTGTCAGCTGTACATCGTCACCTTGGCTCCCTGGTGCCTGTCAGCTGTACATCGTCACCCTGGCTCCCTGGTGCCTGTCAGCTGTACATCGTCACCTTGGCTCCCTGGCTCCTGTCAGCTGTACATCGTCACCTTGGCTCCCTGGTGCCTGTCAGCTGTACATCGTCACCCTGGCTCCCTGGTGCCTGTCAGCTGTACATCGTCACCTTGGCTCCCTGGCTCCTGTCAGCTGTACATCGTCACCTTGGCTCCCTGGTGCCTGTCAGCTGTACATCGTCACCCTGGCTCCCTGGTGCCTGTCAGCTGTACATCGTCACCTTGGCTCCCTGGCTCCTGTCAGCTGTACATCGTCACCTTGGCTCCCTGGTGCCTGTCAGCTGTACATCGTCACCTTGGCTCCCTGGCTCCTGTCAGCTGTACATCGTCACCTTGGCTCCCTGGTGCCTGTCAGCTGTACATCGTCACCTTGGCTCCCTGGTGCCTGTCAGCTGTACATCGTCACCTTGGCTCCCTGGCTCCTGTCAGCTGTACATCGTCACCTTGGCTCCCCGGTGCCTGTTAGCTGTACATTTTCACCCTGGTGCATGTCAGCTGTACATCGACACCTTGGCTCCCTGGTGCCTGTCAGCTGTACATCGACACCCTGGCTCCCTGGTGCCTGTCAGCTGTACATCGTCACCCTGGCTCCCTGCTGCCTGTCAGCTGTACATCGTCACCTTGGCTCCCTGGTGCCGGTCAGCTGTACATCGTCACCTTGGCTCCGTGGTGCCTGTCAGCTGTACATCGTCACCTTGGCTCCCTGACTCCTGTCAGCTGTACATCGTCACCTTGGCTCCCTGGTGCCTGTCAGCTGTACATCGTCACCCTGGCTCATGTCAGCTGTACATCGTCACCCTGGCTCCCTGGTGCCTGTCAGCTGTACATCGTCACCTTGGCTCCCTGGTGCCTGTCAGCTGTACATCGTCACCTTGGCTCCCCGGTGCCTGTTAGCTGTACATCGTCACCTTGGCTCCCTGGTGCCTGTCAGCTGTACATCGTCACCTTGGCTCCCTGGTGCCTGTCAGCTGTACATCGTCACCTTGGCTCCCTGGTGCCTGTCAGCTGTACATCGTCACCTTGGCTCCCTGGTGCCTGTCAGCTGTACATCGTCACCCTGGCTCCCTGGTGCCTGTCAGCTGTACATCGTCACCTTGGCTCCCTGGTGCCTGTCAGCTGTACATCGTCACCTTGGCTCCCTGGTGCCTGTCAGCTGTACATCGTCACCTTGGGTCCCTGGTGCCTGTCAGCTGTACATCGTCACCTTGGGTCCCTGGTGCCTGTCAGCTGTACATCGTCACCCTGGCTCCCTGGTGCCTGTCAGCTGTACATCGTCACCTTGGCTCCCTGGTGCCTGTCAGCTGTACATCGTCACCTTGGCTCCCTGGTGCCTGTCAGCTGTACATCGTCACCTTGGCTCCCTGGTGCCTGTCAGCTGTACATCGTCACCTTGGCTCCCTGGTGCCTGCCAGCTGTACATCGTCACCCTGGCTCCCTGGTGCCTGTCAGCTGTACATCGTCACCTTGGCTCCCTGGTGCCTGTCAGCTGTACATCGTCACCTTGGCTCCCTGGTGCCTGTCAGCTGTACATCGTCACCCTGGCTCCCTGGTGCCTGTCAGCTGTACATCGTCACCTTGGCTCCCTGGCTCCTGTCAGCTGTACATCGTCACCTTGGCTCCCTGGTGCCTGTCAGCTGTACATCGTCACCTTGGCTCCCTGGCTCCTGTCAGCTGTACATCGTCACCTTGGCTCCCTGGTGCCTGTCAGCTGTACATCGTCACCTTGGCTCCCTGGTGCCTGTCAGCTGTACATCGTCACCTTGGCTCCCTGGCTCCTGTCAGCTGTACATCGTCACCTTGGCTCCCCGGTGCCTGTTAGCTGTACATTTTCACCCTGGTGCATGTCAGCTGTACATCGACACCTTGGCTCCCTGGTGCCTGTCAGCTGTACATCGACACCCTGGCTCCCTGGTGCCTGTCAGCTGTACATCGTCACCCTGGCTCCCTGCTGCCTGTCAGCTGTACATCGTCACCTTGGCTCCCTGGTGCCGGTCAGCTGTACATCGTCACCTTGGCTCCGTGGTGCCTGTCAGCTGTACATCGTCACCTTGGCTCCCTGACTCCTGTCAGCTGTACATCGTCACCTTGGCTCCCTGGTGCCTGTCAGCTGTACATCGTCACCCTGGCTCACGTCAGCTGTACATCGTCACCCTGGCTCCCTGGTGCCTGTCAGCTGTACATCGTCACCTTGGCTCCCTGGTGCCTGTCAGCTGTACATCGTCACCTTGGCTCCCCGGTGCCTGTTAGCTGTACATCGTCACCTTGGCTCCCTGGTGCCTGTCAGCTGTACATCGTCACCTTGGCTCCCTGGTGCCTGTCAGCTGTACATCGTCACCTTGGCTCCCTGGTGCCTGTCAGCTGTACATCGTCACCTTGGCTCCCTGGTGCCTGTCAGCTGTACATCGTCACCCTGGCTCCCTGGTGCCTGTCAGCTGTACATCGTCACCTTGGCTCCCTGGTGCCTGTCAGCTGTACATCGTCACCTTGGCTCCCTGGTGCCTGTCAGCTGTACATCGTCACCTTGGGTCCCTGGTGCCTGTCAGCTGTACATCGTCACCCTGGGTCCCTGGTGCCTGTCAGCTGTACATCGTCACCCTGGCTCCCTGGTGCCTGTCAGCTGTACATCGTCACCTTGGCTCCCTGGTGCCTGTCAGCTGTACATCGTCACCTTGGCTCCCTGGTGCCTGTCAGCTGTACATCGTCACCCTGGCTCCCTGGTGCCTGTCAGATGTACATCGTCACCCTGGCTCCTGTCAGCTGTACATGGTCACCATTGCTCCCTGGTGCCTGTCAGCTGTACATCGTCACCCTGGCTCCCTGGTGCCTGTCAGCTGTACATCGTCACCCTGGCTCCCTGGTGCCTGTCAGCTGTACATCGTCACCCTGGCTCCTGTCAGCTGTACATCGGCACCCTGGCTCCCTGGTGCCTGTCAGCTGTACATCGTCACCTTTGCTCCCTGGTGCCTGTCAGCTGTACATCGTCACCTTGGCTCCCTGGTGCCTGTCAGCTGTACATCGTCACCTTGGCTCCCTGGTGCCTGTCAGCTGTACATCGTCAACCTGGCTCCCTGCTGAGTAACATCCATGCGCTGAAATATAAATCGAATCAATTGATTGAAACAAAATTCCTGGAATTGGTAAAAGGAACTTTTATGTGAACATATCTAATCTGTCTATTGTGACTAGTGTTTGTCCGATGAGCTTTAATTAGAGGGGAGATGCAAATGGGCTTCACACACAGACTGTACCTGAATGGTGTATCAAACCCTTGATGTGGTGACACATACCTTGTTCCTGTACAGTTTCACCACACAGCCTTCTTGTTACCCTGCCAGTCTGTTCCCCAGTGTACAGTAATATCTTGTTCCCGTACAGTTTCACCACACAGCCTTCTTGTTACCCTGCCAGTCTGTTCCCCAGTGTACAGTACATACCTTGTTCCCGTACAGTTTCACCACACAGCCTTCTTGTTACCCTGCCAGTCTGTTCCCCAGTGTACAGTACATACCTTGTTCCCGTACAGTTTCACCACACAGCCTTCTTGTTACCCTGCCAGTCTGTTCCCCAGTGTACAGTACATACCCTGTTCCTGTACAGTTTCACCACACAGCCTTCCTGTTACCCTGCCAGTCTGTTCCCCAGTGTACAGTACATACCTTGTTCCTGTACAGTTTCACCACACAGCCTTCTTGTTACCCTGCCAGTCTGTTCCCCAGTGTACAGTACATACCTTGTTCCTGTACAGTTTCACCACACAGCCTTCCTGTTACCCTGCCAGTCTGTTCCCCAGTGTACAGTACATACCTTGTTCCTGTACAGTTTCACCACACAGCCTTCCTGTTACCCTGCCAGTCTGTTCCCCAGTGTACAGTACATACCTTGTTCCTGTACGGTTTCACCACACAGCCTTCTTGTTACCCTGCCAGTCTGTTCCCCAGTGTACAGTACATACCTTGTTCCTGTACAGTTTCACCACACAGCCTTCTTGTTACCCTGCCAGTCTGTTCCCCAGTGTACAGTACATACCTTGTTCCTGTACAGTTTCACCACACAGCCTTCTTGTTACCCTGCCAGTCTGTTCCCCAGTGTACAGTACATACCTTGTTCCTGTACAGTTTCACCACACAGCCTTCTTGTTACCCTGCCAGTCTGTTCCCCAGTGTACAGTACATACCTTGTTCCTGTACAGTTTCACCACACACAACTTCACACTGCAGCTCTTCTGGTGTCGGCCTAGACTGGGGTAGGACACTGCTGACGAACATCTCAGCGCCTGAACACATAGATCTCATCCCATTAGTGCTACCTATCTATTTACAGTCACACATGACTATTTTTAAGATTTATTATTATTGAATGAATGTGAACCAGCAGTAGTAAAAGTATATCAACTCAACATTTAAACATTGATGTAAATATTTTATTGAAGCTGCTGCTAATGGTGGAACAACCTGCAGCTACCCTGAATGTGAGAGTCTGGTGCTAATGGTGGAACAACCTACAGCTACCCTGAATGTGAGAGTCTGGTGCTAATGGTGGAACAACCTACAGCTACCCTGAATGTGAGAGTCTGGTGCTAATGGTGGAACAACCTACAGCTACCCTGAATGTGAGAGTCTGGTGCTAATGGTGGAATAGCCTACAGCTACCCTGAATGTGAGAGTCTGCTGCTAATGGTGGAACAACCTACAGCTACCCTGAATGTGAGAGTCTGGTGCTAATGGTGGAATAGCCTACAGCTACCCTGAATGTGAGAGTCTGGTGCTAATGGTGGAATAGCCTACAGCTACCCTGAATGTGAGAGTCTGCTGCTAATGGTGGAATAGCCTACAGCTACCCTGAATGTGAGAGTCTGGTGCTAATGGTGGAAAAGCCTACAGCTACCCTGAATGTGAGAGTCTGGTGCTAATGGTGAAACACCCTGCAGCCAACCTGAATGTGAGAGTCTGGTGCTAATGGTGGAACACCCTACAGCTACCCTGAATGTGAGAGTCTGGTGCTAATGGTGGAATAGCCTGTAGCTACTCTGAACGTGAGAGCCTTGTATTATAGTCAGTTGGCCACCAGCAGAAAAGAGGCTTAGTTTAGATTTTCGTTCCCACATTTTCCTGTATACCTTAAACCTTTTCTGTTGTATAAAGGAGGTATCTGTACACAATTTTCATTGGGTAGTAAGCTTGCAAGTGTGTGCAGGAATTTTCAGGGGGTCAAAATTGCATAAATTGAAGGAAAAATGCATACTTTGACAAAATTGGCTGTAACATTTTCATTAAGTCATTAAATTATCCAAATTAAGTCTTTGATTACAGGTAATAGGTTCGGTTATCTGAATTTGGCAAACATTTTGTTTCATTTAACTGTTATTCTAATTCTCAGTGGAAACATTGGTAAAAATCATGTTTTTTTACTTCATTTTCAAATCTTGTGAGTAGGTAAAACACTAATTCCATTGAATTGTGACAATAAAACCACTATAACTGGGTATTAAAATCTGCCTTAACCATTGTACTATCCTATACAAAAAACAAAATGAAAATATATTACATAGGGGTTGAGATATTGTATACAATGTTACCCCACCCCCCAAAAACCAATTTTGATGAAAATTGCTTATTGAGTTATGGTGGTAGATGATGTTGCTGTAGTGGATGAGTGGGATAATTGCAACAATGCCTAAACACACCAAAATAGTAAACTCAGAAAGAAAAATTATGTTTCAAGTTTTTCTGTGAGCATTTATGGTGGCCATCTTGAATTTCAAGATGGCCACCATTTTGACCTGTTTTTAAAAACAAGATCTTATATAGTTCTTCAACATGGTCATGTAATATATCATATGAAAGCTTTTTACATTGTCTTTTCAATGATGTACATTATTCACTGACTCCTGTGGTAAATTGACCCCCAACAATGAAAAAAGGAAATATTGAAAGCTAATTTCTCTCGTGACTTCAACCCATACCCAAATTTAGATTTAAATTAAAATGGACATATTTTCACTCAAAATTCTAGATATACAGCACTTTTGTCTGAGCATTTCACTAGTTTATAATTTGAGTGAAGAAACAAACATGAGAATACTTGTAGTATTATTAAGTATTAAAAATAAAATGTGAAATAATGTCACCGTCAGAGTCCGTCGCATCTGGAGAGGTAGGTAAGTTAAATTGTTTCTGTTTAGGCATGACATAGCACAACTGCATCCATGGGAATATCCCATGATGTTCTTGGCGCAGCTACACCTGAATGAGGAGCATCTGCCTGTTGTGCATTTACAGGTGAGCAATTCTAGACACAGTGCTGGCATTCATTCCTGGGTCATTGGGATGGGTTCTGTGACATCGTCTGTAGACATCCACCTATACCCTTCTGGTGGTGGAATGTCCTTTGTGTGCGGAACACCACGTGATGCAAATGTGTTGACATCTGAGTAGAGGTTGTGTGGTGGGAGTTCCTCTAGGTCTCCAACTCTGTGGAACATGTCAGCTGTAAGTGTATTAATGCTACTTGCAGTCGATGCTGGATTGTACACTTTGATGACAAGTGAGTCTGTCTCTTTCATGTTGAAGGCACCAGTTTTTTCTGTTGGTTGCAACAAATATGGTTGTGCGATAAATATGTTCCAGGTCCACAACCTGTGACAGCATGGAATGCTGGTAGAGCTGCTACAATATCTGAGAGAATGAGAGATTGATGTACATCATCAACTGATATGCACCCATTCATATCTGAGCAGAAAACGATGTTTATGATGCGTCAACTGTACTCTAACATCAGTGTCTCAGCTGTTAATGACACTGTGGTCGTATCCATTGCAGGAGGCATCCATGACATTGATCACCATTCGTGTAGCTGCCTCTTTATGTGTTGACAGTAGATTTGGCATTGCTTCAGATTGATCTATGGAAGATACTGCTGTAATTGGGCTGCTTAATCCACCTGCAATGATGATGATTTGATGATTATGATGGAGATGCTGTGCCTGTGTGTGCAATTATGTGGTCAAGAATTGTATCAAATTTTGCTTGTTCATTTCAATAAAACTGGACAATGTAGCCAGCAGAAGGATGTCTCATTTATCTATTATTCTTCAAGTTTTCTTTGATCGATCACCTCTTTTTGTCCGAGTTGCAGATTTTACTGACTTTGCAACATATTGGTCAAAGACATCATCGACTTAAGTACAAGTTTCACCGAAGTTCTTCAGCACATTCCAATTGAAAACATCAGCCAAATCTCCAAAGGGCCTAGCTTTGCTTGGTTTGCCTATAACCTGTACAAGAGCCATGCCAGAAATAACAATGCATTATGTGTCATCAGTTGATGGTACCATGAGAATCTGCAAGCAAATGTGATAATGCAGCTTTGTTGTACAAAGTAGGCCATCTGTTGTTGCCAGGGAAGGTGGGGTCTGGGACAGCTCATGTGTTAGAAGATGTGGTACGTTTACTTCTATTCCACTGAGGGTGGCACTCAGCAACCTTCTGAAACGTTGTCTTCCTTGCTTAAAGGTATTGGTTTGAGTTGACTTCTTTGATATCTGCATGATGTACAGTGCGGAACATGTACTGTTGGACACACTTCTGATATTTTGTCATGAATACTCTTAGCATTATCCGCCAATCGATTGTCAGTGAACTCTGACAAAAGCTTGTCACCTCGATTCATACCATGATGATGTAATATCTTCCTTAGATCAATCTGCAGCGATACCAAATCTACCAAATCAGATATAGGTGGGTACAGGTACTGCAAAGGACCTACTATTCATACAAGTTGATGATGTACATCAATCTCTCACTCAAGATGTTGTAGCAACTCTACCAGCATTCCATGCGGTCATGGTTGTGACACAACAAGCCAGTTCAGTGGTAATGGCAAGAAGTCGACCTGGAACATATTTATCGCACAATCAGATTTGTTCTAACCAACAGAAGAAACTGGTGCCTTCAACATGAAAAAGACAGAAACATTTGTTGTCAAAGTGTACAATCCAGCATCGACTGGAACTAGCATTAATACACTTACAGCTGACATGTTCCACAGAGTTGGAGACCTAGAGGAACTCCCACCACACAACCTCTACTCAGATGTCAGCACCAGTGCATCACGTGGTGTTCTGCACACAAAGGAAAGGCTGACATTCCACCACCAGAAGAGTATAGGTGGTCATCTACTGAGGATGTCATAGAAACCATCCCAATGAGCCAGAAACGAATGCCAGCACTGTGTCTAGAATTGCTCACATGTAAATGCACAACAGGCAGATGCTCCTCATCCAGGTGTTGCTGCGCCAAGAACATGTTCCCTTGGATGCAGTTGTGCTATGTCATGCCTAAACAGAAACAACTTACCTACCTTTCCAGAAGAGATGGACTCTGACGGTGACTAGAGGTGACATTATTTCACAGCCCTTGACTCTGTGATGTAATCTTTAATACTTCATAATACTACAAGTATTCTCATGGTTTTTTTCACTCGAACGATAAACTAGTGAAATGCTCAGACAAAAGTGCAATTTATCTACAATTTGTGAGTGAAACGATGTCCATTTTATTAAAATACGACTTTGGAGGTTGGTTGGTGTTGCTAGAGAAATTAGCTTTCGATATATCATTTGTTGTATTATTGGGGGATAAGATTACCACAGAAGTCAGTGAATAAGGTACATCATTAAAAAGACAATGTAAAAAAGCTTCCAAATGATATATTACATGACCATGTTGTAGAACTAAAGTGCTGTATATCTACAATTTTGAGTGAAAATATGTCCATTTCAATATAAATCTAAATTTGGGTATGGGTTGAAGTCACGAGAGAAATTAGCTTTCAATATTTCCTTTTTTCATTGTTGGGGGTCAATTTACCACAGGAGTCAGTGAATAATGTACATCATTGAAAAGACAATGTAAAAAGCTTTCATATGATATATTACATGACCATGTTGAAGAACTATATAAGATCTTGTTTTTAAAAACAGGTCAAAATGGCGGCCATCTTGAAATTCAAGATGGCCACCATAAATGCTCACAGAAAAACTTGAAACATAATTTTTCTTTCTGAGTTTACTATTTTGGTGTGTTTAGGCATTGTTGCAATTATCCCACTCATCCACTACAGCAACATCATCTACCACCATAACTCAATAAGCAATTTTCATCAAAATTGGTTTTTGGGGGGTGGGGTAACATTGTATACAATATCTCAACCCCTATGTAATATATTTTCATTTTGTTTTTTGTATAGGATAGTACAATGGTTAAGGCAGATTTTAATACCCAGTTATAGTGGTTTTATTGTCACAATTCAATGGAATTAGTGTTTTACCTACTCACAAGATTTGAAAATGAAGTAAAAAAACATGATTTTTACCAATGTTTCCACTGAGAATTAGAATAACAGTTAAATGAAACAAAATGTTTGCCAAATTCAGATAACCGAACCTATTACCTGTAATCAAAGACTTAATTTGGATAATTTAATGACTTAATGAAAATGTTACAGCCAATTTTGTCAAAGTATGCATTTTTCCTTCAATTTATGCAATTTTGACCCCCTGAAAATTCCTGCACACACTTGCAAGCTTACTACCCAATGAAAATTGTGTACAGATACCTCCTTTATACAATAGACAAGGTTTAAGGTATACAGGGAAATGTGGGAACGAAAATCTTGTTTTTCACCCCTGGCCAACTGACTATTAATGGTGGAACACCCTTGGTGTACTCTGAACGTGAGAGCCTTGTATTAGTGGTGGAACAGCCTTGGGTACTCTGAACGTGAGAGCCTTGTATTAGTGGTGGAACAGCCTTGGGTACTCTGAACGTGAGAGCCTTGTATTAATGGTGGAACACCCTTGGGTACTCTGAACGTGAGAGCCTTGTATTAGTGGTGGAACAGCCTTGGCCTTCTCTGAATATGCTAATGGTTGAACACCCTGTGGCTAACTTGAATGTGAAAGCCTGCACTAATCGTAAAACACGTTGAGGCTAACCTACACTTGTAATAATGATTGGTTAGTTTGTTGTTTAGCAACTCAGCAATATTCCAGCTATATGATGGCGGTGTGTAAATAATCGACTCTGGACCAGACAATCCAGTGATTAATATCATGAGCATCGATCTACTCAATTGGGATCGATGACATGCATCAACCAAGTCAGCGAGCATGATCACCCGATCCCGTTAGTCGCCTTTTACAAGCATAGTCACCTTTTACGGCAAGCATGGGTTGCTGAAGACCTATTCTACCCCAGAATCTTCACAGGTCCTTGTAATAATGATGAAACATATTGTAAGCCTCTTACTAATATTTGGAACATCCTACCTCTATTTCATCAGTGTTGGAAGATGGGATGATTTCACTGGCACAAATGTCTGACAAACTGGAGTCAGCGTTTGCTGATTCCTCCAATGAGTTGTCTGTCCATAGTTGAATGTCAGAGTCACCGGCTGGCCCTGCGTACAGAGGCAGATGTTGGTGAGAAACTTTGTAGCAATTCATAATTGTGCATGTACAAAGTCAATGGATATATGAGGAGAGGGACACATATTATACTGATTATGGTAGGACAACATATCTAAGACAACATGAATTGTGTTTTGTTTTTGTTTTGCAATATTCCAGCTATTTGAAAGCAGTCTGTAAATAAACAAGTCTTGGTCAGCCAATCTTGTGATTCATATGAGCAACAATCCATGCAATTGAGATACGATGACAACCTGGCAACCCGATCCATATAGTCGCCTCTTATGACAAGCATAGGGTGCTGGGGCCTTTATTCCACCCAGAATCCCTACAGGTTTAAGGCAACAAGAATGACACCATGGTAGACGTATAAAAGCAGAATAATAAACAGCAAATAAGATTTGTCTTAGCTTACTATGTCAGAAACACACCTCTCAGATGGTGATTTGCAATGGAAGCTGATGATGCTCTGCACACATCCTGTAAATAAACAATAGGTAGCCCGTAAACACACTTCATGAGCTTCAGTTTGAACCATGTTATTATGAACATATTGTGAACACACTATGGACCTACATCAGCTTATACGGAGTCCCATGAGTGAGAGAGTGAATGTTGTTTTGCTCATGGTAGCATACTGTTTGTCAAGACAGAGCTGGGCCAGACTGAGGATTGGAACACACGGAGTACAATCAAGCACTAAATCTTTCTTGTTTGTCACAAAGCCATCACTATCAATTTACAGCAGCAGCAGCAGCAGCAGCAGCCACTGACCCAATTCCCATGTATCATATTAACAAGAGTTTGCCACTAACGTGGCTATATCCCCCGCCCCTGTTGCAGAATTTATGACATAATTAAATCTAAACAAACCCTAACCTTTTTTAACCGAGGTGGAACTTGTCATGGAAATAGTAAAAAAACAAATGAACCCTACCCTCACAGAACCTAAGTCCATCTTGTTGCCATGGAAACGTAAAAAATAAAAATTTCTAACATTTCTCAATAGCAAAAGGCACCAGTTCAGCATGTACCTGACAGACCTGCAAAGTTTGATGAAAAAATATTGAACGGTTTATGAGTTATGCTCCGGAAACGAAACGTGACAGACGGACGGACGGACGGACGGAGCCCATTTCTATATCCCCTGCCAACTTCGTTGGGCGGGGGATAATAATTAAGAATATCCTTTCTTATTTTTCATTATTAATATGTGATAATATTCACATGGCTGAGCAAGCATAGAGACACTCACAAACTGATGCCATCTGCTGATTTGATTTGATTTGATTTGATTCATATTTTCATAAATGTTTGAAGTGATATTATCGATAAGCTATTTAGGCATACTAACCGATGACAATATATGGGAGCCACTGCGGTACATTTTGGTCCGTGGTTGAAGTTGGGACAAATATCACAATACACATCAAAACATAACATTATTGTTCTGTCATCCAACTTAATTTCTGTACATCAAATATAATACTGATACATGCAGAAATGGCTGAGCAATGATAAACTTTTTTAGTTTTTTAGTATGAATATTGCAGCCATGTTTAGTCGGATAAGAATGCTGTCTTTGCTCATATTTAAGATAGAACATTCAGCTCAATAAACAGATTCAAGAGGTGTAAAAAATGCAGGAAAACTAGATAAATGGCATTATGTGTAAGTCAAAGGCTGTAGTTTGATCAAAAATCAAAATGTTCAAGAAAAATTTATCATATGCTTTACTGCATACCACATAACTCTGAATATCAAAATTCAAAAATAGCAGAAATTACTTATCAAGGAGCAAAAATAATATTTTCAATGTGGCCGTCATGGCGGTTCTTTCATTACAAATTTAACCTTCCAAACATGCATGTAGCTAATGGGTGTCATACCATGGCCTCCATGACCTGCCCTGTGACCTGTGACCCCTGTGTGGTGCTGTCACTGCTGCTGGAGATAATGCAGACCTGAGATGGGTTCAGGTCAGCAAGAGGGTCAGCAGATGGGTCAGCAAGAGGGTCAGCTGCAGTGCAGGCCCTGCATGGAGCAACAATATCCCAGCATCAGCACAACAAAATCTACTACATTATGTCAGTACTGTTATCAGTACACTTTAACTCCCATACATACAAATGACTTTACACATGTGTCATCAAGCAGTTTGTTTTGGATAAAAGTATCCACCAGATTTGTTGTTTCATTCTTAGTACGCCTGTCACAGAACCACTGACAGTCCGGAGCTTAACTTTTTGTCATAAGTTTAGAATCATAGGGCTGTGGCTTATTGCAGTGCATCAGTACCGGATGACCGTAGATAAGCCAAATTTTGAGGACCAGAAAGTCCAGGCAAAGTAGGCCATTTTTTCACTGAACTTGGAACAAATTGCAACAGAATTTATTTCCCCACAATGCATTTCTACAAGTTCCTTAAAACAACATACTAAAAGTCTGAAGCAATCCAAAGGGAAATATGTCTAATTTGCATAATCCAATATGGCCACCAATTATCAACATATCTTCCATATTAGTTGTTTGTTTGTTGTTTAACGCCGCACTCAGCAATATTCCAGCTACATGTATATGACAGCTCCATATTAGTGAATCGCTGGGTGACAGACGTGTGGATGGCGAGACCAGGTGGCATGAGAGGATGCAGGTCGCTCCTTGTCTGGGACATGTTTAGGGCGCACCCTTGCCAGACCTCATCATGTCACTAACAGAGGAGACCCATCAGGCAGTCATCCTGGGCGTCTATACCTCGTTACTTCTGCCACTTGACGTGTGCTTCAACAAGCCTATCAAGACAATCGTGATCAGAGTAGATGCTGAACGGAGAGCACACGTTCACAAAGTCAAACACTATGTGAAGAGTTCCTTTCACAGGTGGCAAAGTGGGTGAAAGACTCCAGGGCCCACTTGCACAAAACGATCTTAGCGCTAAGACTATTGTAACCCTATGTTAAAGTATGGGAGTTAAGATCATCTTAGCGCTAAGATCGCTTTGTGAAAGTGGGCCCAGGGATGAGTCCCCACTGCCATGGTTGTCAAGTCATTCTTAAAGTGTGGAATATCAAACACAATGGACGGTTTAGAGGATAAAGTGCTGTACGAGTAGTTTGTTGCATCCACCGTCAATTCCAGAGAGGATGAGGAAGATGTCCTGGCTTGCGACGATCTTGAGGATTACTATGACGATGCAACTGACAAGGCCGACGAAGAGATTTTCTCGTGTACAATTCTATATACACCGATTTCACAAAATGGTGTCTCGTTGTTGATGGCAACATAACGATCATTATGATGTTAAAAATGGACAACAGAAACCACTTCCCGCATTAAAAAAATGACTTTTTCAATATACTTTCAACATTTTTCACTGTATATAATGTTGTTGCCTTTCACTTCCTGGTTCGGGACATATCATGTTCATACAGTTTTCAAGGGTCAAGCTAATACCTCGGCTTACCTATGAGATCGCTTTATATATGGTCATATACGGTAAATTGATGGATTCACCCTGTCAGTCCAGTGAATGAAGCTGAGTTGCAGATGCAACTTTCTTTTATCTTTCCAGCCAGTTCCATAATGTGAACTTGTCACTTTCTTTCAATGGTTATACCAATTCCTCTCATTGGGCTATTCTGACCCTGTTTGCAAGCTTCTACATACCCTACCTCTACAGCCTTTTGTTCTCCAGTATACACCTGTACATATTGATAGGTAAAAATAGGGGAAACATTTGGATAGGCATACTTCAGTTAGGTGTAATGTGATCACAAAAAAACCCATGAAAGTAAATCCAAGTGACTGCATGGATTTCCATGATAAAAATAAATCAGTCAGACAGGTGAAGTATCTTTGATCTGTTTCTCTTTGGCACGTTTTATAAGCCTAACACAATGTAATATGCAGACATTATCCGATTGTGTCAAGTCCTACATGACTGGGGATAGGTAAAACCAGAGAACACTGTCAAAAATCAATATTCTACTTGATAAGGGTAAGGAATATTGAAACGAAACATATAATTATGTGTTGTATTTTCTTGTGCTGCCAGTCCTACCAATGATGGGCAGATACAGAACCCACCAGAAACACTGCTTCTAAAGTCACTTCATGTACAGGTTGTGAAGCTAAAGTTGAGTAACATTAATAGAAGCAATTCCAATGATGGGGTTCCCAGCACCCAGCACAGATGCCAAAACAGTGATATTAATAGCCATATTTGAATAATTAGAAAGTGTATTCAGTAACGTCAACACAGCTAAAGTTTTGGCGCCACTCTATCACATGCTGTGTCATATGTACCTCGTCACAATGCTTCTGCTTCCCATATGTACAACCTAATATGAGTTTCTAAAAACAAATGGATGAGAATCTAACCTTGAGTAATAGCAAATAATGGTTTGAGTACATGAAACTGATCTTCATTGATTCCTGAATTTGCCTTTTGAACAAATTGAAAAATATTAGGCTCCAAAGAATTTGTGTTTGTTTTGTCATTGTAGAATACAGTTGGTTCATCTCATATTTTTCCTTTGGATTGGATCTCAAACAAACAAACCTAGCAAACCATGAGCCTCACCATTCACTCAATCACTATCTAAAACCTAGTGGTAATCCCTTTTCAGATTTTAAAGAAAATAATACACAATTACAGAAATTTGTGTGCACTATCAGGGTAACCTCTTTTGCAAATAAATACATCGAAACCTAAGGTCATTTGGTGAAGCAACATTCTTCTCACAGTCTGTGTATGCTCGTAACCTCTAACCCATTGGGAACAAGCAGGGAATCGGTCTAGCTACCTGTCTAGTCTCATACCCCAGTAAGTAGGGGACAAGCATGGAATCAGAGGTTGTCCAGTTATCTGTCTACTACTGTCTAGTCTGTCTACTTATGAGATACCTTACCTTGACTGCAAAACACCTGGCCTCTTCTTGCTGAGGACTGAGACAGATTCTGCAGATGCAGTGACTGCCTGGCTCAACTCGGGGACTGTTAGGTCAACCACCTTCATCCTGGTCTCTATGGACCTCTCCGTTCCTGCCTTCAGGTCGCTGATGTGGCAGTCTGGCAAATCACCTCCTTCCTGAGAATCATGAAAGCTGAAAATAGCAAAGTTATCTCATTAGCTTTCTAGCCCAGAAATTAACTTTCAAAATTATACTGTACATACCGGTAAATGTTGAATACAGTTCCAACAAAAAATTACTGGTCTAGGGTTCATAACTTTTTTTTAACAGTTCTTCAGTCACGACATAATGTCAACATAGGGCTGTGTCAGATTTTGGCACATTATTTCCAACAGTAATAAAATATTTGGAGATGGTTGTTCTACCCACATTTTAAAGACAAAGACAAAGTGGACAGATCAGTCATTTGTAGTGCGGGTTTCACATGGATAAACTGGCTGGCATGACGACCCTCTGACCACTGGTGTCTTTGTTAAGGCTGTCAATAATGTTAGTTGAGAGATTGAAAGTAGTCATTAAAAAATGTCCCAAAGAACCATGGTAAAAGCTTGGCAGTACTGCCAATACATTCATATAATATGTATTTATGTTGAAGTCATGATAAGAGTTGGCAAGTGTAATTATTATCATCATTATGAGCTGTCTCTCTTGCTGATATAGACTGAATTTGGTGTAACCCATACAGAGTGGGTGAGAAGCATCATACCTTTCTTCCGAACATAGACTGAGTTGTAAGCAGGGCCTGATCTGATCCTGTGTGCTCATTGGATGGATGAGGGTCAAGAGATCCAGTAGATCAAGGGCATGGAGTCTGGACTTGTTCAGCAGACATTCCAGCAGGATATCCATGGAGACAGACATGGATGGTACACTACGGCAGACAGACTCTACGCCCTTTTGCAGAATCTGTAGCATTCAAGGCTCATTAAAAGCAGAGAAAAAACTAGGTGTTTGCACACAGAAGCAGCCCCATCACCGCCATTTCCTCAAAGCTTAATGTACCACTATGTACTTCCAGTCCAAAAATATTACTTCCAGACCTTGGCCTCAATCAAGACAACTTTCTAAGATGTGCAACAGTAACTGGCAATAAATGACAAAAGAATTTCACAATAACCTTAAAGATGACCTACACCTTTGACACCATAGCACTAACATTTCATGAGGTAGAATTTTTAAAGATACATGCAAATAAAAAACTTCATGCCTGCAGCGAGGTAACCATGACTGAGAAACTGACAATGATATAACCATGTTTCACAAAAAGCTGAATGCTGACCTTGACCCTTGACAGATTTTGAACCAAACATTTTCCAAACAGTGCCCAATCATAATGATGACAAAAGATTATGTGAAATGGGGTTGAATGTTGCATTCAAGATTAATGCAATTACAGTCAAGTCTCGTTAATCCAACACTCGTTAATCCGACAATTGCTTTATCCGACACAAATGATGGGAACAGATTTAATCAGTGCTATTTAGACCCGTTAATTCGACAGTCTGCACTCCGACTCCGACACGCCTAATTTGCAACGAATTGCTGAAATCACTCATTAATCAGTCTCGTTAATCGGACACAGTGATCAGCGTACTCCGTGGTCATCTGCCTGCGAGTACACAGCCCCCTGTTTTGATGCGAGACAAGTTGGCGAGTAGCTGCATATTTCAACAGCTGCAGAGATAAACTTGCTTAACAATAAACAGTTACTGCTTTAAATAAACAAAACAGGATTAATCACATGCCTAGATTACCTCAATCTCATTAAAATCGGATACAAGTTCTTGCTACCGGACATCCCATTACAGATCACATCAGAACGACCTTTCACGAACTTTCACCGACCAATGAAATTACTAACAGGAAGTCGACATTAGCCACTAAGAAAGCAGCTTTCTTAAGCACTGCGGCACAAGTTTTAAATTAGCGACTTCCATTCCAGACTATGCCTTAAAGTCAGTCAATTTTGAATCAGTCATACAATCCATAACAGTAGTTTTGTGTTAAACTTTAGTGGTTGCATGATTAGTAAACTTATTCCGCTGACAATGTAACAACAATATGAATATTTTATTTTTCCTTTTCCTACGTGTTAGTATCGTTATCTTTCGTGTAGTTGTCCAATTTTCGATCACGAACGTTTATACTACCTAATTTCATTTATCCGACATACTCGTTAATCCGACATAATCATATGCAACTAACAATGTCGGATTAACGGGACTTGACTGTACATAGTGATGTGCATGCAAGTGTAACTGGCTGCAAGTCCGGACTTGAGTCGGTTTTATAGCGCTAGCCTACATGTGCCCACCTTGTCTAAGACAGTGATAAATCTACATGTGCCCACCTTGTCTGGGACAGTGAAAAATCCTACATGTGCCCACCTTGTCTAGGACAGTGATAAATCCTACATGTGCCCACCTTGTCTGGGACAGTGATAAATCCTACATGTGCCCACCTTGTCTAGGACAGTGATAAATCCTACATGTGCCCACCTTGTCTAGGACAGTGATAAATCCTACATGTGCCCACCTTGTCTAGGACAGTGATAAATCCTACATGTGTCCACCTTGTCTAGGACAGTGATAAATCCTACATGTGCCACCATGTCTAGAACAGTGATAAATCCTACATGTGCCCACCTTGTCTAGGACAGTGATAAATCCTACATGTGCCCACCTTGTCTAGGACAGTGATAAATCCTACATGTGCCCACCTTGTCTAGGACAGTGAGAGGAAGACATTTCTCCACTTCCTGGAGGAACCGGTCCACATGTTTCTCCAGAGAAGACAGGAACTCCTCTCCAAACTCTGTGTCATATTCATCCCGCAAGAAGCTCTTCCTCTGGTTCTCATTCAGACAGAGAGAGAGGAAGAACTTTCTGAAGTTGCTTACCCTCGTCTGCAGTCGGGACATGTTCCTCTGCGTCTGCACAACACACAGTCGACATATGACATTTCACCTATTGTCTTTATAAGTTTCAAGGAAGAGACAAATCCAAACTCATTTTGCAACATGTATTACGTGTAAACTGCACTGCTAACATCAGGGGAAGTATCTGTTCAACAGTGAGAAGGGAGAGTGTGGATGGTGGTCCCACCTACTCACTGTGTTTAAATCAGCACTGCTACACCTGGGGAAGTATCTGTTCAACATCAGGTTCAGGACACGGGGAGACTGGGAGTCTTTCTTCAAGTAATCAAATAATACCTGCAATAATTAAACACTCATTATAACTATTCACAGATAAAAAAACAACAACACTTTTAGGTTTCAGTTAGTCAAGCAAAAATGGTACAGAGTAGATCTGTAAAAACAAATAGGATAACTTGATTTACTTCAATATATTCAACACAAACAAGAGGTATAACCTTCATCTTCAAACCATAGGTAAGTCTGAAGTATATCGTGAAGGGGCAGGCTTCTCCTAGTGTTTGGTACAGCTGTTCTGTCAGGTGGATGGCAGTCTCAAAGTCCTCCAGCTCACGGCAGTGTATGATGCGGTGGATTGTCGCTGTCGACAGGCGTGCATGAGGGATGGCAAGAGATGAGAGATCCTCTCCATGTCTCTGCACCAGGGCTACAACAGGGGAGATTGTGGTTTCAGTGTCTCTGGCAATGGCTACACCATTTGTTTAGTTTGTATTTCACATAGCCCTTATGTCATAAACTGGATCTGAGTGTCAGAATACAAAAAACTTAAAGTCATTTCAAGAAACAGAACAACTGTCACTGAGGTCAACCCTCAGAGACTAATAGTTTTTGACATTGTAAACAATGGATGATGTAAATCTGTTTTCATACACACATGCACATACTGGAAAGCGATCAGCAGTGGTAGAAACTTAGTAAAATTCAAATATTTTTTTTTACATTCGTATACTTATCCTGCATTACTTTTTAATGCATTTACTGCTTTTTTTTGACAGAAAGATGCTCTGTGAGAGGTCCAGGAGCTGAAGAAAAGTTGTTACAACCAGCTGTCCTGGGAGTCGATTCTTGGCTATGAAGTCAGAGCAGAGCCCAAGAAGAACGGCACCATGTGCTCTGCACTCAAATCTAACGGGGGAGATGACCAGAGCATGTAGCTCGCTCACCCCTGCCGCTGTAGCTAGAGCCAAGAGGAAGACCATTTTCTTGGTGAGGTTGTAAGACGCCGAGTGGAGTGGCTCAAAGGGCACGCCTCTCAGCATAGTAAGCACCACGTTTAGGTCCCTTGCCAGGAGACTGAACTTGGCCTTCTAGATGAAAAGAGCGACATGTTCCTGGCATCGGAGGTCTATTGACATTAGTGACTCAGTCGTACTCATGTACCGTCACAGGCGTCTGGTCGAGTAGTTGCAGCATTACTTAAGCATGCAAATCAATCTGTAGAAATCCACTGCATGGCACCCATTAAATCAGTTGACCTAATTCCGGTCGGAGTAAGTTTACAGTCAGAGAGTTATTGACATGTGACATGTAAAGCATCCTGTGCAGTAGATGAGAAACCCACATTTAAGACGGAGATGAGATGCAGGCTCCATACACGGACAATCCCCAGTGAACTGTGTGGTGGACAGACAAGTGGTGTTCCCGAGTTCTGTGAAGGTGCGACATGGTCAGTCTAGGGGCAAAAATGATCACCACGAAATTTGAAACATCTTGTCCTGACCAGTCAATGATGACCCCAAGAGGTGGGTACCCGGTAGCCTATGATGAAGCTGTCAAAAGGCTAATGAGTGTGAACAGTGATGATCTGCAAGATCTGGTACTATCGTCCTCTTAGTAGGCTTCTCTACCTATGAGACAGGAAAAAAAGTGGGAATTTTCACCATGCCCTCACTACGAGGCCAGGGTTACGAGAGTGATGAATTTCCGATTCGATGAAAACCAAGTGAGTATCGCACAACAGAGGCCAAGAGATCAGCTATCCAGTCGGCAAGTTGATTCAGACCAAGATGTCTTAAGGTTTGAATGGATCCCTCCAAGGATTCTGAACGATAGTGATGATCCCAGCGACATATGAGTGAGCCACTATGGGTGCGGGGACGAGCCCGAAATGACTTGGACCTGTGTCGGGATATAGTAGGAGAGGACGAGGCATAAGACGATCTAGGTTAATGAGAGTCAGTAGCAGACGGAGGTGCCAGTGATGCCATTGATGACACCAGGTGAGGCGCTGTGAGCGCTGTGGAAGAGTCTCTTTGAAGATGGCTTGCATCAGGAGCGCCATGGAAGAGTCTCTTTGAGGAACACTTGCGTCGGGAGTGCCATGGAAGAGTCTCTTTGAGGATGGCTTGCATCAGGAGCGGCATGGAAGAGTCTCTTTGAGGAACACTTGCGTCGGGAGCGCCATGGAAGAGTCTCTTTGAGGGACACTTGCGTCGGGAGCGCCATGGAAGAGTCTCTTTGAGGATGGCTTGCATCAGGAGCGGCATGGAAGAGTCTCTTTGAGGAACACTTGCGTCGGGAGCGCCATGGAAGAGTCTCTTTGAGGATGGCTTGCATCAGGAGCGGCATGGAAGAGTCTCTTTGAGGATGGCTTGCATCGGGAGTGCCATGGAAGAGTCTCTTTGAGGAACACTTGCGTCGGGAGTGCCATGGAAGAGTCTCTTTGAGGATGGCTTGCATCAGGAGCGGCATGGAAGAGTCTCTTTGAGGATGGCTTGCATCAGGAGCGGCATGGAAGAGTCTCTTTGAGGATGGCTTGCATCAGGAGCGGCATGGAAGAGTCTCTTTGAGGATGGCTTGCATCAGGAGCGGCATGGAAGAGTCTCTTTGAGGATGACTTGCATCAGGAGCGGCATGGAAGAGTCTCTTTGAGGAACACTTGCGTCGGGAGCGCCATGGAAGAGTCTCTTTGAGGAACACTTGCGTCGGGAGCCCTGTCGAAGAGTCTCTTTGAGGAACACTTGCGTCGGGAGCGCCACGGAAGAGTCTCTTTGAGGATGGCTTGCATCAGGAGCGGCATGGAAGAGTCTCTTTGAGGACCACTTGCGTCGGGAGCGCCATGGAAGAGTCTCTTTGAGGATGGCTTGCATCAGGAGCGGCATGGAAGAGTCTCTTTGAGGATGGCTTGCATCAGGAGCGGCATAAAAGAGTCTCTTTGAGGAACACTTGCGTCGGGAGCGCCATGGAAGAGTCTCTTTGAGGAACACTTGCGTCGGGAGCCCTGTCGAAGAGTCTCTTTGAGGAACACTTGCGTCGGGAGCGCCACGGAAGAGTCTCTTTGAGGATGGCTTGCATCAGGAGCGGCATGGAAGAGTCTCTTTGAGGAACACTTGCGTCGGGAGCGCCATGGAAGAGTCTCTTTGAGGAACACTGGCGCTAGAGCAGGGTAGAGGATCCCAGCCCGATTTGCTCCTATGGCAAAGTATGCTCAACAAGGCATAAATTCTGTAACTCAAGCAAAGTCATGTGGAAAGCACACAACGGGAAACAGGAGGCATATTGTAACTCAAAATCTGAAAGGTTTATGAGAGGAAACAATTATGCAAAAGTAGTGTAAAGCAACACTTAAAACACACACAAAACATTAGGTAAAACAGAATAATGGACTACCCTAGCCAAACAAAAGAATTCAGAACGTAAGACACAAAATGGTGGTGACGTGGCGAATTCAAAATGGTGGATGGAACAACAATAATATTACTGTGACTAGGGCCACAACGAGCGGAAAAACGCAGCTGGACCTCTCAAGTCTTTCTTTAAAAAAACACAGCAGTAAATGCATTAAGGAGTATTGCAGGATATCAGTTAAAAAGATTATTTCTTAATAAATATGGAAATTGAAACATACAAAAATGCAACTAATGTCAAATGAGTTACTGACTCACCTGCAATGACCTCATGGAGCTTGTGTTTACAAGCATAGTCCAGCACCCATCCTTCAATCTCTGTGGTGGCCATGTTAGAGGCAGGGCACCTCGCTGTCAGGCTGAAAGTAACACTCTCATTACAGTCATAGTGACACTGGTGGTTTAGGACACAATTTATTGGGTTGTCTGGTAAACAACTAAATTGTATGGACTTGAACAAATGTTGTTTAAACACATTGATAGTCAAATTTAGTTACAGTATCCTGTAAAACTCTACATTTTCACAGGATCTCTGGCATTGAACATGGTTGAAACTGCTTGACAATATCACAAGTTACAGTGTAATTAAAATATTGGCTGCAAACAGGTGGTTTAGTGAAGACACTTTATAATTTGGCAATATGGAAGAATTTCCTAACAAAGTTGATGAAATCGTAAAAATGTCCTCATGTCTTGAGGACAACCACTGGTTCATGTAAAGGATATTAGTGAAACCTAAATATTTCACATTTGGATACTTATCCTGCATTACTACCTTAATGTTTCTCCTGCTGTTCTTTCCCTAGAGACGGAGCTGTGAGAGGACCTGGCTACAGAATCTTTTGTACCAAGCAGTTGTGGCTTACTTCCTCCTACAGCTACCACATGACCGGAATTGACCGGAACTGACCAGAAGGGGCGACGTCACATCTGAAAATCTTCTTGGGGAGCACTATAGATGTAGTAATGCAGGATAAGTATCCAAATGTAAAATATATTTAGATTTTACTGAATTTTCTTATCCTGGACTGCTACCTGGAGTGCCAATTTCTAACGCTGGTCTATGTGCTAAGGCAATAGCATTTGCCGCTCTAGCCGAAGAAACTGTAGCACCTTGGGCCCGGTGGAGATGTGCAGATGTAACTGACTGTGGCCACCTTGGGAGATCAAGAGGGACGAACCAATTCAGAGCAGGCAACCAAGGCGCAATCAAAAGTAGAGATAAATATGGTGTGTTTTTTTATCTTTTGCAGAACCCTGTAAGTAGTACAGGTGGTGGAAAAGCGTAGCCCTAAAGGCCTGTCTAGGGAACGCTGATTGCGTCAACCGCCCAAGCCAGAGGGTCCAGGACTTGGTAAATGTATCTCCAGAGATAATTCTGGCTGGTGTCAAATAGGTTGATCAGTGGCAGGACAAATCGCTGGCACACCAGGGTGAAGGCATCGGGGTGGAGCACTGACTCCTTGTGAGTCACTTTATCTGGTCTGGAGTCTGCGTCCACCATGATGTTTCGACAACCGGGGATGTGCTGGACGATGAACCTCAGGTGATTGGAAGAACTGGAAGAACTAGAAGGTCTGAGACAGTATGGATGACAAATGAGCGAGTGAGTTGTGTTTAACGCCACTTTAAATTTTTAGTATTACAGTTATATTGCGGCATGTCAGCTTAATGTGGGAGGAGAGCCCAAAGTGAAGCAGGTCTCAGACGTTTACAACTTCAATGAAACCCACAAGCACGGGTATGGTGCTGACAAACCCAGAAACCGGAGCGAAACCAGGATTCGAACCCACCATCATAGGTTTCTGGCATGCCCAAGGGATGCAACTCTGCATAGCGAATCCAGGCACGTGATGTTGTCTGTGTATATGGCAAGCAATTTGCGCTGAAGCCGGGACAGCCAGTGAGACACGGCCAGGATGAGTGCTTCGAGTTCCAGATTGTTCATGTGCCACCGGAGCTGATCATTTGACCACAGCCCAGAGGCAGTCTGGTCCTCCAAATGTGCCCCCCAATCCTGTTGTGAGGCGTCAACGAATAGATGGAGTGAAGGCTTCAGCGCTGTCAAGGAGACGCCGTCACAGACATTTGATCTCACTGTCCACCAACGAAGATATGGGCGGAGGTGAGTCGGGAGCACTATGGAGATTCAAGGGTTCTGCTGATGAATAAATGGGGCCAGAAACTGTTGTAGCGGACGTACTTGTAGTTCGCCTCTGGCTATCACATCCTGAGCTGACATGAGAAGGCCCATTAACGTAGTGTGTGAGCCTGGTGAAGGGCAGGAAGAAGCTGGTGCTGTATTTTGTGCCACCTGTCGTCTGGTACCAGAAGCCAGAAGGAGATCATGATCTAACCTAAGGAACTTCCTGCAACTGGGATGGATGGGTACATGAAGATAAGCGTCCTGGAGGTCGGGAGTGATCGGGGAATCATTGCACTGATTCTAGTACTGAGCAGTCTCAATGTAGTTCGACGAAAGTAGATAGGATGTTCCAGGTAATGCTTGTTAAAGACGGCGAGACTATGTTTCATCCGGAATTAAAGTGCCGTTTAAAAGCTGGAGACATATGCATGGCTTCAGAGATAGCGTCATTGAATAGCATACATGCATTCCAGACTGCGGTATCCAGATGCGGTTTAGGGAACGAGCCGAAACTGGGAGGCATGAGAGGCCGTAGGAGGGGGCGTGCAAGCGCCAATGACAAAGAGGTGATCGTGGGTGCAGACACAGCGGGCGTGAATGCACTAGATGACGGTGGTGAGCAGAGGCACTGCGCCATTAGTGATGACTTCAGCGTGGTTGGGGATAATAACACCTCAGTGTCGACCTCCGAAGTCAGAGAAGTGTCCCTGAAGTCGGCCATCTTGGGATGCCTGTGAGCAAGTTGGGTGTGTCACTAGGGGAGAGAGCGCAGGAAAACTTGCACCGAGACGATGAGGAACAGGGAACAGTACAGTCGGTGGACTGGAAGTGTGGGTCTCTGGCTGATTTAATTCCCCGACATTGAGAGCAACACGACATATAATTTCAAAGAAATAGACAAAAAGCAGACTAGACACTCATCAAAGAAAGACAGGCATGTAATTATAACTCAAAGTTTTAGAAAGTCTACGAGGGAACTTTACGATATAAAGAGTATAAATATACACTCATAAAGCCCAGAACAGAAACGTATACAGCCCATGAACAAGAGCTAAGACAGACATATTGAATTATCAAAGCACAAGACATGTAAACATGACAACGTGGCAAAACAAAATGGTGGATTGTACAACACATGCGCAAAGTAAGTGCGGGACAGAGCCAAAGTCAGGCAACAATTATGTTCAGGTAGGCCTGAAAGACCACCCAAGTACACCAGACTATAATATATACAATTGAGATGTATTGGTTAGCAAAGGATGGCAAAAGGATAGGCAAAGGATGCAATCTGGTTCTTCAAACCGGGGAGCTTTATTCTCAAACAGCTGTACAGGCCGATGACTAGCAGTGATGTGATTATACGTGACGTCGCCACTTCCAGTCATGTGGTTGCTGTGGGAGGAAGTAAGCCACACAACTGGTTCGTAGAACAATTTCTGTAGCCAGGACCTCTCACAGCTCCGTCCCCAAGTCAAAGAACACCAGTAGAAGTAGGTGATCAATCATCTTGCCTAACATAAATAATGGTGTGGGTCTAATTACACTTAGCATAAGGTGGCTCATAGCAAATAATAGCTAAGGTAAAACACACGATACATGGACCCAAATATTACAAACATACACAAGCAAAATACATTAAATTTTGGGTGATAAATCGCCTCATAATTACAAAACAAAAAGAACTTATAAACTTCAAGACCAGGAAAACTGAGCAACTGCAAGACTAGCAAAACTTATGGGATCATGTAAAGGAAAAGATCCTTCCTGGTGCCAAAGTACCTACCACCTACCTTACCGAGAAACTAGAGAATGAACAAGTTGAAAATATCACGACAGCAGCAGGTGTGGGTTTTGGCATTTCTAAGCGTCAGTTCCTCAACAAAACGTGATGCTTACTAGTTTCAAAAACTGAAAATGTCCTTCAAGTTCAATGACAATACCATGTCCCAGGGCAAGACTGGTTTTATTGACAGAGAAACGACATTAAGACGTCCAGAAAAATTAAGTCAGTCATTTGTCCGTCAAGATGAGTGTAGGTGTAGCAGGTTAGTACTTTTTGCAAGAAACACTTAATAACATGATTTGCTTGACAAACCCCAGTACATCTGGAACATGGTTTCATTTTGGAACACACACCCACTGCTGTTATTGCAAGCATAGGCAACAAGTCAGCCCTAGCATGTACCAGCAACTCCAGGGAGTATACATGTGTCAATGCCTGTGCGACACTCTGCCACTGATGATAGCAGTTAAAGGAAAGACCAAAAAGACCGTAACCCTCATGGTGCCTGGCAGTCAGCTGGCTTTGTACTCTGCTCAGTGCAGCATTGTGAGGATGTCGCGGTTTAAAAAACGTATACATTGTATCAAAAGTGTTACAATGTTCATATTACTTCACAGAGCGTAGCCAAATTATATAACATGCAAATCTAATTGATTGTTTTTCCAACAGTATCTAAAGTCAACACATTCAAAATATCTACAAAGTGCCTAGCCATCGATAAAAATGCTGGTATTGTAAGTTTCCTACTTTTCTACATTGATCGTAATACAGAAGCACCCAAATGTGGCAAGTAAAGTAAAGCAAGTGCCCTTGTTTGAAATCTATATGTCCAATAATTCATATCATTGGAAAGTACATATCCTAACGGAGATAGACATATGACATTTATGTCAAAGTACACATTCATAGAGAATTTTCTGTAATTTATATTTATGGATAAAAAATCCCAATGAAATTGTCAGTGTTTTTTACGTTAAAATATTGATGCAAGTGGTCATGATTAGTCCATACACAGGCTGTGTCAAAGATTATGTTACAATACGAATGACAGTTTGGAATGTATATCTTGAAGCACTCCCCGTTACGACCATGTAGGTATCAGTGTCCGTGCTCTTTCATTAGTGATAAAAACAAGGACAAAATGAGAAAGATCGCTAAACAGCCCTAACAATACTCAAATTGACATCGCTCAAGTACATGTAGATTAAATAAAAATTGTTGAAACGTTTTTATGGGCAGCAAATCTATTCAACAAACCTATTTTTGATCACTCGTAACTCGGGCGCTGTATGTCACACAAGCTTTGCTTCGTTGTGCAATCACAGAGACTGTTTATTTTTTTATACTTCGGGTGTTATCATGTGTCTTAATGGTTTAAAGCTAACTTATAAAAAGCTTGAAACAAGATATAATTGGACACTTTGGCCCCATTTGGACACTTAATACTTAAATTTGAAAGCTCAAGAAGCATAGAGTATCGTCATATTATAGCCTAATTGATTAAACCTTCTTCAATTCATTTTATATCATCCTGTTATTTCTTTCATAAAAGGTCTCATCAATTTAGAAATGTGAAGAGAAAGAAGAGGTTTTTTTTATAATTTGTACTGTAGGCTTTCCAGACTATGTTAGGTGCCCTACATTAATCGTATTTGAAGCAACTGGAAAATTGAGTACTTGAACATATTATCAATGTTAATCAATGAAGTATGGGGAACAATGCAGTTTACCGGGCGCAGCCCCATGCAGCTCTACCATCCGCTCAATTACCGTGCTATAGTGCCACCGCTGTCTCGCTATACCGTTACCGTGCCTCATGCTCTGGTGACTCTTGCTTCACAATCCAATACCCGTTTTCTGTCTTAGGGAAAGTTACACGTCTTTACGATCCAACACCTGTTCTCGGTCTTAGGGAAACTTACACGTCTATACGATCCAACACCCCTTGTTTGGTCTTTGGGAAACTTACATGTCTTAACAATCCAACACTCCTTTTTGGTCCTTAGGGTTAGCTTGCTTTGGGCAAGGGTTAGCCAATTTTTTTTACCTTTTCAAGCGTTAATCCAGATCATCCGATTGGTCGGTCATGTTGACATAAATAATGGCGGGTGTGGTTTCAAGAAAAGATGAATGATAGACTGTGACTTCACACGCATATGCAATTGATTGTTTACTGAATTACGCATGCATGTTAATTGGGATTCTAATGCCCGTAAAACTAGCACTGATTACATGTGATAGCGCCCGTGGTCCAGTGGTAGAGCGTCGGCTAATTAACACATTAATTAGCAGAGCCTGTGAACCGGCGAAGCGCGTTCAAGCCCCAACAGCGCTAATTGGATCGGAAAAAGAGCGCCCGGTAAAGTGCACTACTCCCGAATAATCAGTTAAACCTTTTATATTGCATTAAGAAGGTATCTGTACACAATTTTGCATTTGGTAGTAAGCTTGCAAGTGTGTGCATGACTTTTCATGGGGTCCAAATTGCATAAATTGAAGAAAAAATAAATAATTTGACAAAATTAATTTTTTTATTAAGTCATTAAACTATCCAAATTTGTCTTTGATTACAGGTTATATGTTCAGTTATATGAATTTGGCAAGCAGTTTGTTTCATTTAACTGTTATGTGAGTGAGTGAGTGAGTGAGTATGGTTTTACGCCGCTTTTTGCAATATTCCAGCAATATCACGGCGGGGGACACCAGAAATGGGCTTCACATATTGTACCCATGTCGGGAATCGAACCCGGGTCTTCGGCGTGACGAGTGAACGCTTTAACCACTAGGCTACCCGACCGCCCCCTTTTAACTGTTATGAGTGAGTGAGTGAGTGAGTGTGATTTTTGCTTATTGAGATATGGTGGTAGATTATGTTAATGAAGTGGATGAGTGGGATAATCGCAACAATGCTTAAAAACACAAAATAATAAAATCATAAAGAAAATTGATGTTTCAAGTTTTTCTATGAACATCTATGGTGGCCATCTTGAATTTCAAGATGGCTGCCTTTTTTACCTTTTTCAAAATCAAGATCTAATACAGTTCTTCAACATGGTCATGTAATATATCATATGAAAGCCTTTCACATTGTCTTTTCCATGATGTATGTTTATTCACTGACTTCTGTGGTCAATTGATCCCTAACAATAAAACAAATGATATATTGAAAGCTAATTTCTCTAGCAACACCAACACACAACCAAAGTCAGATTTCAATTAAAATGGACATAGTTTTGTCCGAGCATTTAACTAGTTTATCAATTGAGTAAAACAAAACATGTGAATACTTGTAGTATTATGAAGTATATAAAAATTACATCACAGAGTCAAGGGCAGAGTCAGAGTCTGTTTAAGCATGACATAGCACAATTGCATCCAAGAGAACATCCCATGTTGTTCTTTACGCAGCTACACCTGGATGAGGAGCATCTGCTTATTGTGCATTTACAGGTGAGCAATTCTAGACATTCGTTTCATTGCTGAATGGTTCTAGCTTGTGGCTCGATGGTGGTTTCCCTGTGGCTTTACCAAGCCTTCAGTGGAAGGGAGTCACAGCCCTCACCACCAACCTCAAAGACTTCAAGATCAGGAAACTACAAGAAACCACCAACATCAAAAGACTCAAGCCGTCAACCGTGACCAAGGCTATTATATGCCCCCCCTCAGGCGTACCATGAACTCATCAAAGACCCCAATCAGCCATAATCCTGTTGTTTATATTACTGGCTTCATCCTTTGTTTATGTCACTGACTTCACCGATGATTGTCATCACTACCCTTGTGTGTACATGACAGGCTTCTCTTCTCCAGTATAACAATATCTACTCTACTGTATAAACATTGCCTCTTACTTGTATATGAAGCCTGCAACCTCGGGGAAACGTGGTACTTGTCATGTATGCTAAACGGAACAAAATGCACTCACTAACCTTTATGATTATTCGTGTTCTCTATATCAGATGTCATTTTTTTTATCTAACAATGCATATTTTACTGATAAAAGTTCATTATTTACATTAGTAGCTCCGAGTAAAAGCCGGGCCTCGCGCTCAGTTTAACAAGGGAGAGAACTCCATCATATCATTGTACAGAGAAAATAAAAGTTGTGTATGGAGGTCCACATTGGATAAAAAGAGGACATAATTCTACCAATCACATAGTATGATAGTGCTAGAGATATGTGGTTTGTCCAGACAAGTGCAAAGACAGCACAAGTAACATTCTAAATGTGTTATCAGTAATAGGTATTCAATGCATATTTACCGAAAGGTAAGAGAAAAATATTCTAAAAGTCAACAACAAAATATCAGAAATGATATTCTAAGATTCTAAAAAAATTGGATGACAATAATTTGTCACAAAATTGAAAAATGTTAAAAGTCAACAATAAATATATAAAAAGCATTCTTAATATGCCCAAAGTATGTATTTATCTTTTGGCTTCTAGTGAAGAACGTATTTCTAAGTTTGGCATTATGGCCCTTATGATCTCCCAATAGATTCTTGGCACAGAACGGGAAAAAATGTGCGGACTACGTAACTTCCGTTACCTTATTAGTTGCCATAAATATGCAGATGATCTAGTTCAGGTAGATAGAGAAAGTTTTCTTGGGGAACTGCTTTGGCCATTGATAGATGGGGGTAAGGCAATATCAAAAAGGATGCCAGAAGTAAGTATCAACACGTTAATAACTCCTTACTTACAGCAGACGGAACATTCCGAGGAAGTTGAAATTGTTTACGAAGTGAGCACTTCCTGGTTACTGATTTGCATTAACAGACAGCCACTAAGAGGCAATCACAAATGCCGTGATATATGATGTATACTTGCCAACCACACTCTGTATATCACTTGCTTGATAACGGTGTTTAAACCTACACTGAAACGTCGCTCTTAATTGTAATAAAGAAGTTGTCCATCCATAAATTCTCATCCTTACTTAGTACTCCAACTTCTAAATGCCTATCAAAGAAGTGACTAAAGTATGTTGGAGGTAATTCAAGTGAATTTGAAAAAAAGCAATATAGCTTCATGCGAGACACAAGCTGCTGGTTCGAGCATTGTTTTTCGGATAAGACACACACACACACACACAGACAGACAGACACACAGACAGACAGACAGACAGACACACACACACACACACACACACACACACACACACACACCAAATCAACAGACAGACACACACACACACACACACACCAAATCAACAGACAGACACACACACACACACACCAAATCAGGCAAACAATATGTAGCTTACTTGACCGCGACATGATCGAAAACTGAACCATAGGGCAATGTTGTCAATACCGTGAGTCCAGGTTTTTTCAGCCCACATAATGCAAAGGTCACTGGATGCTCATTAACTAGTAATCTAATAAACCGCTAACACCGATACCTTTTCTGTAATGCACTGCCAAACAGGGAATCTCTTTCACACTTCTGCCCGAAACATAACCTTCCAGTTTTCGCGCTTGTCAATTTCACGCTCAAAATACCTCGCTAATTTACGCCTTTGGAAGCTCTATATTATTATTTCCACGATACACGTGATTCCTTTTTGATGCTCGCAATGTTAGGCTCGTAAATTTATAGACTGGTACATTGTCCTTCTAGCAACTGCACATTGTGGTGATGAGCGCAAGCGCCCTATGGCAGGCAAACCAGACTAGTAACTATAGACTGGTTTGTCTGCTCTAATGCGCTTATGCTCCTCGGGGTATTTACAAGTACAGTGAATACACGTCCTTTATTGTGCCCTTTATTGTCACTGTTTTGTCTGTCCACCTGACAAAAACAACAGTGACACTCTCGACAACTTCAACTTGTTTATTCGTAGCTTGGATATTGCGAGTAGCGTCTCGCGAATTTGATTCCTTGAATCCGACTATGATAAGCACGTTTTTATGTAACCAGGATGTGACGCCTTGTTTTTATCCTTGTCTACTCACAATATTTTATTTTGTTAATAAAGATTACCATTACAATTGGATTAAAGATAAGAACATAATTGATTGAACAATTGGTTTTAAAACTGCACTGTACTTTTACAGCATTGTCAGATGTGTGAGGAAAGGTATGAGATATAGGCTACTTGTGCAGTTAATGTGGCAATTGCCAACGTCGAGATTGGGGTACAAACTTCTATAGTAAAGTCAAAGTCCAAGGTTCGAGATAACGCATTTTAATCTCGAAGTTTGATATAAGGGTGCAAATTTATACGTATTTATATACTGAGGCTGTCGGGATCGGATAAATAGGTTCGAGATATCGGTACATTCGAGATATCGAGGTTCGACTGAACTTACAACTATAGCCCAATGTAATAAAATATTACCTTCAGTGGATTTGGGCACACCAGTGTGTTATCCTTCTGATACCCATACTATATGCTTCTGCAGAAAGACTATTCTTAATATGTTGCTTCGTCATCTCTCATGTTTGTCAGACCCGCGAAGATCTGGGTTAGAATTGGTCTTCAGCAACACATGCTTGTCGTAAGAGGCGACTATGCTTGTTGTAAGAGGCGACGAACGGGATCGGGTGGTCAAGCTCGCTGACTTGGTTGATGCATGTCACTGATTCACAATTGTGAAGATCGATGCTCATGATGTCAATCACTGGATTGTATGGTCCAGATTCGATCATTTACAGACCGACGTCATATAGCTGGAATATTGATGAGTCCTGCGTTAAACAACAAACAAACAGCTTTCATCTGCAAAAAATATTAGAAATCATGAATTCATCATCTGTGACTAAGGTGCCATCTGCGATATACTGTACAATACAGTACAATAATTATAGAGAAAGATTCATCAGGCGGTGTATGCGTAATACTTAATAATATTAATATATATTTATGAACAGTGCTTAAAATAATGAATACAGAGAAGGCAAAAAGTACGTATTCATTAAATATCAAATTCACATAATCATGAAAAATGCCTATATGTGTGTTTTAGTTTAGAAATTTGTCCAAATTGACTCGTTCCTGCTTTTGGAAAGGTGTGAGCAACCTGGGAATCCATCGTGCAGACACCTTATGCATGTTTAAATTGTCATGGATGATTTTTTCCACAGACCCTACACTGATCTTGACATCTTGTGCTAACTGGCGAACAGTTATACGTCGGTCTGCCAATATGGCGGTCTCCACTTGATGGATAGTGTCCTCATCAATGGCTGAATGGGGGCGACCAGGAATGGCAGCTGTTTCCACAGATACTTAATAATATTAATATATATTTATGAACAGTGCTTAAAATAATGAATACAGAGAAGGCAAAAAGTACGTATTCATTAAATATCAAATTCACATAATCATGAAAAATGCCTATATGTGTGTTTTAGTTTAGAACTGTTATAAATAAGCTGTTCTATACAGAGTCAATTAATTGTAGTGAATGCACTAACTGACCGTGAGTTTAGCCGCATATGTGAAACATACGAGGGGTGTTCATTAAAGATTTCCCCTGACCCACTTCCGATGGACCTAGTGGAATGAAACTTGGCATAGGTATTAATCTTTCTCCACATAGGAACCACCAAGAGTTACACACTTCTCTCATCGTTTTATACAACTATTGAGACCTCGCTTGTAAAAGCCCTCATTTTGCGTCTCAAACCAGGACTTGACTTCAGAAATCAGTGTTTATCATCTGTGAAACGTTTAGCCTTCAAAAATGACTTCATTGTTGGAAAGAGGTGGAAGTCAGATGGTGCAAGGTCAGGAGAGTAAGGAGGATGTGGAAGGATTTCATAGCCACAGGACCGCGCTTCTGTCTCGGCAACATGAGAGTTGTGTACTGGAGCATTGTCTTGCAGGAGACGGACACCCTTGGTCAGCATGCCACTCCTCTTAAGCTTGATAGCGTCCCGCAATTTCCGCAGCAGTGAAGCATAATAAGCTCCTGTAATTGTGGTACCCTTTGCCAAGAAATCCATCATCACTACTCCGTGCTGGTCCCAAAACACCGTGAGCATGACCTTGCTTGCAGAGGGTTGGACACGTGCCTTCTTTGGGGGTGGTGACTCCACATGCTTCCATTGCATCGACTGAACTTTAGTCTCAGGATCATAGTGATGGACCCATGTTTCATCCTGTGTGATAAGTCTGTCAAAAAGGTTTGCCTTTGGGGGGGGGGGGGGCACATGTCCAAATTGACTCGTTCCTGCTTTTGGAAAGGTGTGAGCAACCTGGGAATCCATCGTGCAGACACCTTATGCATGTTTAAATTGTCATGGATGATTTTTTCCACAGACCCTACACTGATCTTGACATCTTGTGCTAACTGGCGAACAGTTATACGTCGGTCTGCCAATATGGCGGTCTCCACTTGATGGATAGTGTCCTCATCAATGGCTGAATGGGGGCGACCAGGAATGGCAGCTGTTTCCACAGATGTCCGACCACACTTGAACTGGCGATGCCAGTGTTTAACAACGTCATATGATGGGGCATCTTCCCCATAAGTTGCTTTCATTTCATCGAAAGTTTCTTTTGGTGTGCGACCTTTCAAATAAAAAAACCTAATCACTGCTTGGTATTCTACTGGCTCCGTTGTCACACCCTACTCGATCATTACACCTGTAAAAGTGGTAAGATTAATAGTTCGGTGCTGGAAATTCAGACATAACCCATAGATACACGTATCATTACGCATGTGAAATTTCAACCAAATATGATAACCCTAAGTGGTTTAGGGGAAATCTTTAATGAACACCCCTCGTAAAATATCTTGTGTGCGGTGGTCAGTTAGTGCATTCACTACAATTAATTTACTTTAAGAATAGTAATATTAGTTTACCGATATAGGTTGATTAATATATATTTTCTAATAGGAATTTGGTGTTAGAAGAAAGCTATGACAAAGCCCTCGGTTTACTCTCACTTTGCCAGCAGGCTGCGGAGATTAACTTGTACGGTCCAGTGCCTTGCCAGCTATAGCCTGTTCTGATTATCTGAGCTTCTTGATGACTAAGCTGTGACCCACTGTGAGCCAAACTGAACTAGTGAAGTGAACTGTGTTCAGCTTAACAGATATGGCTTAATTATTTGATGTGAACATAAATCACTGTTTACTATACTTTTCCAAACAGACAAATTGAGCGAGTTTAAAATAACGGGTATATACACTGTATATATATATGGAGGTGCCATCCGCGAAATGCAATAAATGCGAAGCGGACGTAAAACCTATAAATCAGTCAGTCAGAGGTGCCATTTGAAAATGTATTGCAAAATGGCAAATGCACAGGTAAACGTTAAGTTCATCCCTATTTCGCGAGGTGGACAGAGTTTAGTGAATGGTGGACATAAGTTCAGAGTCAAGACAAGAAGACGAGACACAGTGCACTGGAGGTGTTGTAAGGCTGGATGTCCTGCAACCATCAACACTGCCAACAATCTCATCACCGCCTACAGGAACATCCATAACCATCTTCAAGAAGAGTTGAACAGTAAGTGTAACAAATTTTCAGTTTCTACTGTTACCATCTGGTGATATCTTTGTTTTTTGTTTGTGTTGTAGCTTCCATTAAAGCAATTATGGGTAGAGGGTGGTGAAAGACTCATTTGGAACCACCATGATACCATCGGCCCTAGAACAACTAACCACGTCGAGGGATGGCATTCCAAGATGTCGAAGCTCGCTGCCTGTCACCCGAACGTATACAAGTCCATCAACATGATCAAGAATGAACAAAACTTTACAGAAGTGACCATCACGCAGTAACATAACGGTGGCACACTGAGACCAAGGAAGAAGAAGTACCACCAGCTGGAAGACAAACTAGACAGAGAGAAGAGACTGCTCGCAGCTGGTGTTAAATCTCCCATCGAGTATGGTGATGCTGTATCTCACCTTGTCGGACTCTAAGTGATTTTGCTGTAGCCAGACATAAATTTGGTAAGCTAAATTGTATTAGATTGTCTTGAAAATTTGTACATCTGAACATAAATGGATTTTTTAATTAATAATGAATACTACTGTATTATATTGTCTTGAAAATTTGTACATCTGTATATAAATGTAATTTTTAATTAATAATTAATATAAACCTATACTACTACATACATTTTTTGTGTTATATCTACCTAGACAGGCTGTAGTTTGGCTATAGTCAGTCAGTAAAAGTGAAACAGTCTATAGTGTTAATCCCCGTTGTTGTAGGGATTATCACGGGCTACTGATGTTTAAACTAGAATAATAGCTGCTGGCAAAGTGAGAACACCCCCATAATAGATATGGTAAAGTATGGACGTAATCATTTCTGGTCACTGCAGCTGTGAGACAGTGACCCATCATGCAAGTCTGCCCAGCCTGGCTGACACAAAGGGTCACACCATCAGGGAACCAGTGATTAGTGTGTCAACTTCACGTCCACACACTTAGTCAGTCCGACTGTCACATAAGGGTCGGTTAGGCAACCTACTTGAATAAATTCTTAAATAATGACACAACCATCCACTGTTACAGCCGATCAACCGCTGACACCTTGGATGTTG